CAACCGGGAAGTGACGTGGCATCAGGTGCACAATGCAGCAGAGGCAGTGCCAACTATGATAACTTTATTATGATGGGCTGAAGTTATCATGGGGGCCATAGCTGGCAGCCCTATTGGATATTTTTAGCAGGTGTCAGTCCAAGTGGCAAAATGACAAAAGCTGTGGTTTTCCACCACACAGGAGGTGGGGACTTGGGTGAGGCAGGTAAGCTTACACGAACATTCTAGCAATCTCAGGTCCTCTGTGCTAGCTGCCTCCCTGTCCAATCAATGCTGTTCAATTATTTCTTAGCTACTACAGAGTTGTTCACATATTGAAAGAGCAGACTGCCGTCAGCTCGCTCACAGATGTTGACTGATGGAATCAGTTAGGCCTGTCCTTGACCTCATTCTCTGTGTGTGAAGTTTACAACTGTGACATAAAGCTGAGTGGAAGCAAACAGACCTGAAGGCTACAAAGATTTGAGAGAATGACTTCCTGCACTGAACCAGAAACCCAGAGTTTCCAAACTCTCCCATGATCCTCAAGCTTGCCCCACAGGAAGGGGATGACAAACCACACTGCTCCAAGGAGCTCCAGCCGCTCAGGACCCAGTGCAGAGGAGGCTAGAGGGCAACGCGGAAGGGAGATCCTTACAAGCCGTGAGGAACTTTAGAGCAGACCCTGCATCTAACTAATGGGCCCTGAGGAAGAAGTTCTGGTGGTGACGTGATCAATGACGTAGTTAGCGACAGTGAAGGGACTCCACGCCTGCCCTACCCAATGGAAGGGGGTCGTTGTGATTCTGCCGTTGCCCCTGCATCATGTTTCAGATGTATGCTTGGGCAGGGCGTGGAAGCTTTTCCAGTTCGGGTTTGGGAAGTCCCATGAGGCAGATCCTCAGTGTCCTACTGAAAGCCCTCACCTTCACCCACACGTCAGGATACTTCCAGCTGTCGCGTCTGAAGGCATTTGCACGAAGGCATTCCTTGGTACCAGGAACCTGTGGTGCCACAAGGGAAAGAGGATGTGTGGCCCACGGAGGAACGCTCCATCACTGACAAGAGGTGGGGTACAGAACCCCTTTTGTGGATGTCTTCAGGATGGGACATTTGACTCTGGCTCCCAGTCTCTGTATGATGGAACTCCAGTCTCTTTCTCTCCCTGTTTGGGGACCTTTCTCTCCCTGTCTGGCTTCTCCCATCTCCTACTTGTGTTTCTTCCCCTAGGCACCTGAAACATCTTGCCTACAAGTTGGTTTTCTGGAAGAAGCTGGGATGCAAGAGTAGTGCGGGTTCCCCTTCCACAAGGTTGTACCATTGGGCAACAGCAGAGTCCATCTCAGCCTGACTCTCTGAACGAGCGAATGGAGCTGTGACAGGAAATGGCCCATCGTTAGCACTGCTGCGGCCAGCCGGGCTTTCTGCCCGTAAGATGTCAATTCCTTTTGTGTCGAGAAAGCCAACAAGGAGAATCACTCAATCATCAAAGTTCGGGAGTTTGAGCTCCATGTTATGGCAATCCTGAGCTTGCTAACGTTTTAATTATTTATATTTTGTTTTATTTTTTACTTGTTGGGGGAAGTAGAGGTAAGAGTAAGAGAGATAGATAGCTTTTATCCCATTTTCTTATTCACTCCTTACATAACTGTAATTGGCAGGCTCATCAGCATGGATCTGGAACAGAGGTAGAGCAGACAGGACTCAATCCAGCACCCATATGGCATGTCGGGGCTACAGGAAGTAGCTTAACCCACTATGCCACAACAGCAACCAATCCCGGGATTCAACTGTTTAAGCCATCACCAGTCTCTTAGGGTCTGTATTCCAGAAAGCTAGAATCAGGAGAGAAGCTGCTGCCTGAACTCAGGCACTCTGATATGGGATGCAAGCAGGCATCCCATGCAGTATTTTTTTAAAAAAGAAAAATATTGATTCATTTGTATTGGAAAGTCAAATTTACAGAGAGAAGAAGAGACAGGATCTTCCAGCCACTGGTTCACTCCCCAAGTGGCCACAACGGCCAGAACTGAAAACCAGGAGCCAGGAGCCTCTTCCGGGTCTCCCATGGGTGCAGGGTCCCAAGGCCTTGGGCTGTCCTCCACTGCTTTCCCAGACCACAAGCAGGGAGCTGGATGGGAACTGGAGCAGTCGGGGCACAAATTGGCACCCATCTGGGGTCCCAGCACATGCAAGGTGAGGATTTAGCCACTGAGTCAAAACACCAGGCCCCCATGCAGTATTTTAACCACAGACCAAATACCCACTCCACTCAGTACCATCTTTACTTACTATAGTGTCTTATGGAAAGGGGCAAGTGTGAATTGCTCCAAGACTGATACCACATGGGGAAGAGCACGGACTGTGGAAACAGATGTCTAGTCTGAATATAGCTCTGACATGAACTTGTTATCTGACCTTGGACAAGTTAGCTCTTTCCTCTGTGCTCCATTTTCCTCTTTTATGAAAAGAACATGACAATTCACACACCTGCCTGTGATGTTAACATAAATGAGTCTTTAGAAAGCCATTAGCATCGTGCCTGACAGTTAATGACACGTTTACAGACTGCTTATTTTGCAAATGCTATCCTTGTCACAGAATCTCCTGCTCTGTTCGTGACAGCCTGTGTCAGAGCGAAGAGATGGCTTTAGCACTTTGGACACTCCTACCTTGCAGTATGACTTCGTCCCTGTCCTTCGGAAGGCTGCAAAGTTGGCTGCACTCTGGGTTCGCAGGGTACCTTGACCCTGTCGGATCTGGGTGGTGTTAGCTTTAGGTGGATTATTAACCTTAGTAGGAATGGTCACTACCCATCCTATTTGGTGTGTGTCCGCAGACCTGCAAATATTACTCAATCCACTTTTAGGACAATTATGTACATTTATGTACCTATCCAATAAATCCTTGCGACATATGTGTATATATATGCATATGTCTATATACAGATCCTATTTTCCAAGATTAGAGTGTTGAGCAAGAAAATAGTGGTCTCTTTCCTGATGGGTTCTATTGCTCTGTTTCCAACCCAGCTTCCTGGACAGGCAGAAGAGCGTTCAACTCCTTGTCCCCCTGCCACCGACACAGGGCACCTGCACCTAGCTCCTCATTTTGGCCTGGCTCAGCCCTGAAGCAGTAGATGAAGATCTCTTTCCCTCTGTGTCTCTCCTCTCCCACCCCCCGTCACCCTGCCATTCAGATAAAATAAATATTTAAAAAGAATAGAAGGTGAGAGCAGGACTAGGTTTCTTTCTACAAGTTCTACGAGAGATTCCTCCTCCAGCATTGGAGATGCCCACAGTTCTCACCACCTGCCCACCTTCTTCAGCTTCCCGCCATTGCAGCGTCTCACACTGCATCACTCAGCCAGCAACTGCTCTGCTGTCCTCTTCACCATTTAAAAGGCCCCCAGGGCCAGTGCAGCGGTGTGTGAGCTAATCCTCTTACTGCACTAGAAAACCATGTGGGCACCAGTTCGTTTCCTGGTTGCTTCATTTCCTGTCCAGCTCTCTGCTTACAACTTGGGAAAGGAGTGGAGGATGGCCCAAGTCCTTGGACTTTTATACCCATATGGGAGACCCAGAGGAAGCTCCTGGCTCCCAGCTTCGGATCGGCTCAGTTCTAGCTTTTGTGGCCATTTGGAGAATGAGTCAGGATATGGAGGATCTCTGTCTCTTCTTCTCTCTGCGTAACTCTGCCTTTCAAATAAAAATAAAACATACACCCTCTCCCCAAAAATGCTGGGCAGATGTTGTGCTGTGTTAGTTCAAACGCTGCTTGGGACACCGCATCCCATGTCAAAGTGTCTGGGTTGGAATCCCCATTCTTCCGTTTCTGACCCAACAGTCCTATTGGTGTACGTCCTTGGAGATAGAAGATGGTGGCTCCAGTACTTGGGTCCTTCACCATGTCAGTATCTTTCACTGCACAAATCCCCTACTCTGCCTCCCATCCGCAGAAGTAGCTAGATGAAGTCGATGCTGCGATCCACAGATACGGAATGGAACACGGATCATCAGGAATGTGTAACCGTAGCGATGGCACCCTCCCCTCCTTGTTCGTGCTCTGGCTGACAAGGGTCGGCTGTTGGTGGCATAGGTGACTTGTGACTAGCGAACCGTAATGTCTGCAGCGGAATTTCAGGAGTCTACTGCAAGGAGATGAGATTTGGAAAGGCCGACCTCACTCCCAGCTGAGGAGAGATGTGCCGCCGGCTACAGCACACAGCCGGGCTCTGTTCTCAAGCAGCTTCCACCTGCGCCATCAGCACACACAGGAATGCTCACTTGGTTGTCAATTGACCACACTCATTGTTTTTCTTTTTCTTTTCTTTTGGAAAGGCAGATTTACAGAGAGAACGAGAGACAGAAGAAAGCTGTTTCAGCCTCTGGTTCCCAGGGTGGTGAGGGTTGACCTAAGACCCTCATATAGGGCATTTTTGACGACTGACCACCCCGCCCCCCTCCGCTCTTGCCTGGTTCCTGTATTTGTATTTAACCGCAGAAAGGTTGCCCAGACAGGAGTCACTACAACCGTTCAGGTCTCACCTTCAGCATTCAGTGCCCCGGCAGAGTCACTCACTCGCAGAGAGCTTTGGGGAGAAGGGAGAGACCCTGCAGCTGGGGGTTTGAGCATTGTCGGGAGGGGTCCATGCATTGCAGTTGGTGGACACCCCTCGGCATTGGTCCTGGATGAGACAGGCTAGAGGAGGGGCCGAAGGTCGAGGGCCTGGGCCGGGAGCCCAGGTCGGCGGACTAGCGCACTCGGAGGGTGACCCCAACTCCGAGGCTTCACCCGAGAGAGGAGGTCCAGCCCGCAGCCCAGGGCGCTGAGATCTGGGCGCCATCACCTGCTCTCTGAGTCCTGGAGAAGCTCAAGGGCAACCCAGGGACTGTGGGGGCGTGGCAATCGCCACCCAGGATGGGGCGGACCCAGGCCATTATTGGGGTAAAACTGCAGGCTAAGGCGGTGGAGCCAGCTAGGTGACGGGGTGACAGGTGATGCGCGCCCGCGGCAGGAGGATGAGGCTCGCGGCCTGCGCCCTACTATGTGTAGGGGCCTTGGGTAAGTGAGGGGGCAGTGGGCCCTGCGCTGGAGCTCTAGGTAAGGGCATAGGGGCCAGCGCGCCCGAGGGAACTTCGGAGGCATTTGGCGCCTGTCTGGTCTAAAGTGCCCTCCTCCCGCCCCTTGGAGTGCCTGATCTTTTTATTTTTGGTCCTCCAGAAACACAAGACCTCGCCCAGTCAAACAGGGCCTGCTGCCAGCGCTGGAGGAGCTTTCTTTAAAATGGCTGGCGGGAAACAATGGGAAGTGCCAATGTCAGTGTCACGAGTCATGTCTGACTGGCGCCCAGTCGGGTGGTGGGCTTCCCTATGGTCCATGACTGCCTGTGCTTAGGTCTAGGGATTTATGCCTGGGTTGGAGCTAGTTGATCCTATTGGCAGGGTTGGAGGAGAAAAGGGTCTCCACACACACACACACACACACACACACACACACACACACACACCTTCAGGGTTAAGTGGGGCACAGGCACATCTGACTAACAGAGGAATCTTTGCAGCCCTGAGCTGCCCAATGCCTCCCAATGCACAGCAGGGCACTTGAGGCATGCTGGAGTAGGGTCCATTTTCCACTCGTTGCTGGCTGATGCTGAGCTCCCCAATGACCTCTCTGAACTGGTTGCCTTGTCACAAGGAACAGGGTTGCAGTGGCAATGAGCTCCTCCTGGAGCTGGTGGGCCTAGTGGTTATCCTATCCTTGTTAAAGAGACCTTGAACTAAGGTTGGGGGAAGGTGCTTCCTGTTCAGGGAGCAAGGGCTCTCTAGGGCTCTTGGATTGGGGTGTGTGTGTGTGTGTGCAGCTAGCCAGGAAAAAGCCTCCTTTCCCTGGTTCCCCCTTTTGGCTCTATGCAGCCCAGGCTCTGTCAGGTCTCATGGGGTGGGCGGTACCTGGGGTAGGCTATCTGTCATGGGAACTGGAGATGGCCCCAGGGGAGGGTACCTCCTGGGGAGGGCAGGGAGGGCAGGGGTTGTCCTCTGATAGCCCCTCATTGGCCCAGCAGTGTCATGGGGCAGCGTGCAGGGAGTTCTCCTGGCACTGGGGAAAGCTGGGAGAGTAGAGGATTGTCTTGGTCCAACCACAGTCCCAACGAAACCCCAAGTGCGGTGCCTCAGATCTCTGCCAATTTCTCACTGAGCAAGATTTGTGTTGTAGTTTATTCTGCCTCACCTCCTCTCCCGGCAATGTCAGGGGCTCAGCAAAAGTTCATTTTCCCAACTGGCTGGATTGGAACAAGGAAGGCAGTGTAGCAAGAGCTGCCCTTGTTGGCCATCATTCTCCCACTTTCCCTCCCTCATGACCCTGGACTTGATGTTCCAGTCCAACCAGAACTCTCGTGGTGGCAAATGATGGGAACGCAGCCAGAGATACGAACTTCAAGCAAAAAAGCCAGAGGAAGGGATCAGTAAGATGGCTTGGTGACCTAGTCCTCTGCTTATGGTGCCAGTATCCCACATGGGGACTGCTTCATGTCCTGGCAGCCTCAGTTCTGATCCAGCTGCGTGCTTACAGCCTAGGAGAGCAGTGGAGGATGGCCCAATTCCATCTCGTGCACACTTGGTTTGTCTCTAGCTTTGAGCTAGCATAAAGTGCTGTTATGAACATCTGCATAATATATTTGTCTGAGTCCTTGTTTGCATTTATTTTGAAAAGCTACCTAGTTGCAGAATTGCTGCACTATATGCCAGTTTCATGTTTCACATTTTGGGGGATATGTTCAGCATTTTTATCCAAGGGGACCAAAGGAATCAGAGCACTGCGCCCTGAGAATTTCTGGAAGCCACACAACCAGTCCTGGGTGCGTGACTCTCGGCTGCTTTTGTCCTTGACCTCCGTTGCCAGCGAGTCTCTCACAGCTCTAGGCTCTCCCCCTAGGGCTGTGTCTGGCTGACCTTGACAAAACCGTAAGATGGTGCACCGTGTCTGACCCCGAGGCCGCAAAGTGCTCCAGTTTCCGCGACAGTGTAGGAGAAGTCTCCCCAGCAGATGGTCCCTTTGTCACCTGCGTGAGAAGAACCTCTTACCATGAGTGCTTCCTGGCCATTAAGGTAAGTCCTGGGGGCAAAGAGATCGCAACCGAGTCCCCACTTCGCTTTTCTGCACTTGGCTGCTGTTTCTCGCTTCAGAAGAGCTTTCTCCCCACAGGAACCAGGGTGTGCGTTAGAGCAGCAAGGAGCCAAAGATCCAAAATACAAGACCTGTGTTGCAAAGAAAAACAGTAAAAGTCATAATTACCATTGAACAACTAAGAAAGAGGGCTTCTGTCTCAATCCGCGTGCCCTCTGGTCAATGCGAGGGCGGCAGCACCTTGACAAGGATGTTAAGACTCAGAAAGCAGCAAGCTCTGTGTGACGCTATGATTGCTCAACTTTTTCAATCTCTTGTTAACAAGATATAAAAATTGTACCCAAAATAGAAACTCATGAAATATGAGCACATCCCTAGAGAAAAGTTACAATAATTACTAATTAATGAATCACAGTTAATATCATTTCCAGAGGGATTGGGCCAAGGTCATTCCTAGAGCAGATATGCTTCATTCAGGGTCTGGTGTCTTTCAGGCAAACCAAGTGGATGCCGTAACGGTTGATGGAGGTTTGACACTCAAGGCAGGCCAGGCGCCCTACCTGCTGAAGCCGGTTGTGATGGAATTCTATTTATCTAAAGATGGTGGTGGGTTCTCCCTGGGGCCCCAGGTCTCTGGAGTGGTACTGCTGTGATGGGGAGTCAGGCACTCTGTTGGTCTGTGAGCTGCAGGGAGCAAAGCTGCTGGAGCTCTTTCAATTAAAGGAGGTTGCCACTAATGCTGGCCAGCACGGCTGGGAGATGGGCTTCACTCAGGCACCTGCAAGCTTCATAGAGCCTGACGGAAATGCAGTTGCTGGCTGTGGGGTCTCTGTAGCCGTGGGGAAGAGCGCCATCCAGCTACCTGTCCCCAACCCTCCCAGTGAGGCTGCACCAGTGGGAAGCCCGTCGCTGACAGTGCACAGGCTCTGATCAGTGTTGTGTCCCCTGTGTGCACTCTACAGCACAGAGGCTGGAGTCTGCTTAAGGCAAGCTCGCACGGGAGGCGGAGCCCTCACACAGCAGGCAGCTTTGCTTGCTCGCTGTGCTTGGGAGCAGGTGTGAGCACAGCCTGCCTCGATTTCACTTGCTGAGAGGCAGCCAAGGGAGGGAGGCCTGTGCTCTCCTTGAAACACCTGCCAGGCCCCGTCAATGCTGATGCCTCCAGAATGCCCGTCCCTTCCAGCTTAGGTAGACTAGCAGAGAAAGTGCTAGATCTGTTGCCTTGAGAAGCGTCAGCTTTCTCATGTCAGTGAGGGGCTTTCTTTCCTTGGCTCTTCTACCTACTCCACAGGGGCCAATGAGGGTCCTTAGGGTTCCCCCTCCCCCAGCCACACTGCCCACTACACTCAGTCTGGAAGACGACTGGTCATGGTGCGGCAGCTTCCTGTAGCCCTTCCGTCTCTGCTCCTCCTCAGAACCACAGAGCTACCATTATGCCGTGGCCGTGGTGAAGAAGGACAGCGGCTTCCAGCTGAACCAGCTCCGAGGCAAGAAGTCCTGCCATCCAGGCCTGGGCTGGGCTGCTGGGTGGCACATCCCTGCTGGAGAACTGCTTTCTTCGGACTCCTCTGCAGCAGGTAGACCATCAGGGCATGTGGCATGCTGGGAGTGTACAGCCACCACCTGGTGCAGGTGTTTCACGGCCTAGAGGAAGCAGCAAGGCTGTGTGCACCTGCAGCCTGTGGGAGTCCTGCAGCCCCAGGACTGGTGAATTCCCAGAGGCTAGCAGCCTGCATTCACAGCAAGTAAGCTGCTCTCTTGTCCTACAGCCAACAAGCCCTGGTCCCTTGTGTGATTGTGACTCCTAAACATGCAGGGAGCCCTCCACTATCCCCAGCATGAGTGCTGTTGACCAACACCCCAAGGCTGCATCCCACTGGCCTGCAGCATCGTCCAGGGAGGCGGGTGCAGGCTCCCAGCCCTGGGATAGGACCTTGCTCTCACAGGTGCAGCGGGAGGCTCCAGCTACTCATGCCTGTGTCCGTGTCTTCTGTTGAGCAGCAGCAGCCAAGGTCTTCTCCAGCAGTTGCATCCCCTGTGCAGACGGGAAGATGCTGCCCCAGCTGTGTGAGCTGTGTGCGGGAAAAGGGAAGAACAAGTGTGCCTGCTCCTCCCATGAGCCGTTCTTTGGCTACTCAGGTGCCTTCAAGTGAGTGAGGTCCCTGGCTGTTCCGCCTCAGCCTGAGATAAAGGCACTGGGTATCCTCGGGGGTTGGAGGGGGGGTCCCTGGAAAGCCCGAGTGAAGTTCAAGGGCTTGAGTGTCTCTCCCACGGACAGCCCCAAGGACACTAGCCTATGCAGAGCCCTCTGCTTGGTTGTAAAGGGCTGAGGGGACAGACTCTCCTCTGGGCCGCTAGAATCTACACACACCGGCCGAAAACCAGGCATCTGCACTTGCCTTTCTGCATCCCTTTCCACCCAGGCAGTCTCAGGCTCTGTAAGAGCAATTGCTGCTGCATAAAGCCGGGCAAGCCTGCTGGGCCTCCGGACTCCTTTAGCCTCCTTGCCAAAGGCTTTACTCAAAAAAACCTGCTTGCTTCCAAGAGGGCGGTGAGAGTCTTTTTGTACCGTTCCTTCCCAGAGTTGGCTGGAAAGCCAGTGTCCAAGTACTTTTGCTTGCTTCAAGCTTGAATTTGGTCAAGGTGCTTGGAGGTGTCTCTGACAAGGTCATGGCCTCTGGGAGGACAAAATGTTTCCTGGACTGAGTGTGTGAAACGAGGGGTCCAGGGTGACCCCCGCAAAAGGGCTCCCCAAGAGCAAGGCAAGACCTGTGCCATGGTTAGAGGAGGGGTCTGACTGCCCCTTCTATGTTGCCCAGGTGTCTGGAGGATGGTGTTGGGGACGTGTCCTTTGTCAGGCACACGACGGTGTTCGGTAAGCACTGAGGAAAAAACCACATGAGCTTCACCCTGGGAGAAGGAATGAAGGAGAGGTTTGTTTTTTGCTTAAAAGTTCTGCTGCATTTTGGGATGAGTGTTGATGATTTGTGTATTTCTGTATTTATGCAGATGCGTCTTCATTTACAGCGGGGTTGTGTTTGAATTATTCATCGTGATTACATAAGATCATAAGTCAAAAATGCATCCCTTCACCTCCCAAACATCCTAGCGTAGGCACAAGGCACGCAGGCTCAGCAGGTTTCTTCCAGGGCACAGGGCTGAGTGGCAGCTGCACTTGCCAGTGCTCCCCATTCCTGGGGAAGGGCTGGAACCACACAGTGCTAGCACCAGCCTGCGTGGTAGAGATCCAACTCAAGAGGCAAGTCATATCCTCCAGTACCACCTGCAGGTAAGAACCCCTGGCCATGGGCCGTGGTGAACCGGAGCCGTTTGCACTTGGCCCAGTGCTCAATTTTTTATGTCTAAAAATCCACCAAATTATGTGAACAGAGAGTACTTTTCAACTCACAAAACAAAGCAAATTATAATAATCAGTTCCCTCTTTTAAAATTTCTTTATTTTACTTGAAAGTTAGAATCAGAGAGAGAGGGAGGGAGAGACGAGAGAGACAGAATTCATTTGCTGGTTCACTCCCTAAATGGCTGCAACGGCCAGAGCTGAACTGATCTGAAACCAAGAACCAGGACCTTCTTCTAGGTCTCCCACACAGGTGCAGAGTCCCAAGGACTTGAGCCATCCTCTGCTTGTTTCCCAGGTCATTAGCAGGGAGCTGGATTGGAAATGGAGTAGCCAGGATATGACCTGGCACCCATATGGGATGCTGACACTATAGGCAGAGGATTAGCCTGATGCAATGCCACGTTGGCCATAAAATTAATTCGTTTAATTATTGAAATATTAATTTCAAATTTAATTACATTCTTCTGAAGAATTCATTATAGCTGTCTCCCAGGTGTTTCAAACAACTTAAGTATACACATTGCTGTAAATATTTTAACATTGCTTATCTATAATTAAATCTATTGCAGAGACCTTGCTGCCATGAACAAAAATGTGTTTTTTCTTAATGTTGAATATCTGAAAAAAAAATCTCACCACAACCTTTCCACAGTTTGGGACAGTTTACCAGAAGTAAACAGTATTTCAGACAATTTTTAAATTTTTTTAAACATTTATTTATTTGAAAGGCAGAATAACAGAGATAAATAGACAGAGAGAAGTCTTCTACCCATTGGTTTGTCCTTCAAACGGCTTGCAGGAACCAAGAGTGGGCAAGGTCCAAATCGGAAGCCTGGCGCTCCTTCAGGGTCTACCAGGAGGATGGCCGGGTCCCAAGCACACATGCACAATTTGTTAACCACTTCTCGGGCACGTGAGCAGGGAGCTGGACTGGGGCCTCGGTTCCAGCAGGGACTGCTTGCTGCAGCACAGTGCTGACCCATCAGGCAGGCCAAGGTGAACGGATCTGGCGATTCATGACCAACGGCATTAGCTTCAGATGCTCACCTGCAGGGAGACTGCATCAGTCTTCATGCTGGACGCCTCCGATCTACATAAAACACATTTCAAAGGTTCCCCTTCAGTCCCCAGCTCCAGGAGCAGGGTGCCGCAGCTCCTGGCCATGTCTGCTGTCAACTCATCCAGCCTTTTCCTCCCCCAGAGAACCTGCCTGACAAGGCTGACAGGGACCAGTATGAGCTGCTGTGCCCAGACAACACCCGCAAGCCAGTGGACGAGTATGAGCAGTGCCACTTGGCTCGCGTCCCTTCACATGCCGTCGTGGCCCGCAGTGTGGATGGCAAGGAGGACCTCATCTGGGAGCTTCTCAACCAGGCCCAGGTACACCCGCCCCACTGTCCTGCCTTCTGCTTTAGGGGTCCCCGCTGGTCTGGGGACTTTCTTCCTTGTCTTCTTGCCTCTCTCGGAGTGCATACCTGTTCAGGAGAGAGAAGGATCTGTGCCATTCTTGATCTGCTTCGCTGACAAGCCACACCATCTGCTTGTAGCTTGCAGAGCAAAAACTGTGAGACCTTTCTTCCTGCAGGCTCCTGTGGCTGCATTTCATTCTCTTCCAGTCCAGACAGATCCTCCGGAGGCAGCACAGATGCCCCTGTCCTCTGTGAGGTCCTCCCTGTTCTCCCATGGGCCTGGATCCTGCCCCCTCCTGATCTCCCTTCAGCAGGTCCCAGGGCACAGCATTCTCTCCCACCTCTGTCCACTCTCTCCGCTCTGCCTCCACACCCTCGCAGCTGAGGGTGTGGGAACACGCTGAATACGAATACCAGCTCCCACCAGATGGACCTGCACATTGCTGGGGCGTGGATGATGCACTGGGGCCACCAGGGTGGGGAGGAGGGAGCAGGGGAGCGTTCTGCAGTGAGTCTCTGGGGAGGAAGCCATCTGCACCCAGAGGAAGGGAAGAGGGTCCCCACAAAGCGGCAGGTGTTTCACGCAGGTAACCGCAAAAGCCAGAAGCAAGGCCAACACTTAGGACACCCGTGGGTGAATGCCACCGGGAGCTGCAGGCATGTATCTCTATGGGAGTCACAGGCAATGGGGTTTGTGTATTTGGAAGGCCAGAAAGGGGAGGGGACTGTCTGATGTCCCTCAGCCGGCCCTTTAGTGACAGGGAGAAGAAGAGTCCAAAGCCAGCAGCCTCCAATACAAAGGGCAGCTCTTCTTGAGGTGACCACTTCCCTTCATGGGGGACTGCCCCCCTGGTAGCTTCCACAAGGCCACACATTGCAGACAGCTTGGAGGCACTGGACAGTGTCCGGACCACAGGGACACTAAAGGGCCTCGGCCCTTGTTGGCAGTCTCAGTTGCTCAGAATTCTCCCTCATCCATGAGAGAAAGGTCCTGGAGCTCCGAGTTCATGGCTAACATCACAGATATTCCCAAAGTTGGGGTAGCCTGTTGTTTTTTCCTATTCATAGCATTTACTCAAAAGTTTAATGTATACATTGGAGATAGTGCCCAGTAATCCAATAGAACCCAGTAGAACAGTTGTAGCAATATATTACATTATGGTTTACTTCTAGAATTTTCTATTTTTCTTTTTGGACCACAACTGACCTTGGTAGTGAAAAGTGCAGAAAGCAAGTGCCAAGGAGAAGGAAGGACTGCTGTGGGCTCCTGCTCCCTGTTCCCCTGGCCTGGCACGCAGTTTGTCTCACCCAGGACTTCAGCTCCAGGCCAGGCAGCCTCCCAGTGTCACCACTTCTCTTTTTGCCTTTGGGCAGGAACACTTTGGAAGAGGCAGCTCATCGGGATTCCAGCTTTTTGGTTCTCCTCACGGAAGAGACCTGCTGTTCACAGATGCTGCCCAGGGATTTATCAGGGTCTCGCCTAAAAGAGACACCAAGCATGTGTCTCCCATTCAGAGACTAAAGAGAGGTATGTAGGTGTTGGGTGGCTGCTGGGCAGGGAGGGTGATTGTGTCAAGGCATTACTGAGGAATGTGTACCCAGCCTTGCCTCCACCGATCTGCAGAGCCCAGCAAAGCTACTTAGCACACCGGGCAGATGAGGGGGTTCTGGCTGAACTGAGACAAAGACTCAAGTTATGTGGTTGCCAAGGGCTTTTAAAAATTTTAGTTATTTGATGGGCAAGGACGTGGAGAGAAAGAAAGTTCTTCTTTCCACTGGTTCATTCTCCCAGTGTCCTCAGCAGCAGGGGTCAGGCTTAGATGAAGCCAGAAGCCTGCAACCCAGGCTGGGTCCCTCATAGCCCATGTGGAGTGGCAGGGCCAAAAGCATGGAGGCCAGCACCTGCTGTCTCCTGGGGTGTGCGTCAGCCAGAAGCTGGGCCCAGAGAGCAGGAGCTTGAACCCAGGCCCTTCCAGAAGGGAAGTGGGCATCTCCTGTGGCATCCTGGGCCTGGCCCTGCAGAACGGCTTTGAAGATGTTTGTGTTGCAAGCGAGTTGAAGTAATGGTGGTTCTGGTTCCCTTGTGTCAGCTGGACCCTTTGCTAGGGAAGAGTCCCTCCCTGCTGGACTGCCATGGGAGCAGGGCCACTGCTACCAACAGGAGTAGAGGCAGACTCCCAGAGCCTTGCCATCCTGCTCTCACCTCCCGCTGGATCCCCAGGGTCCATTTCTTCTTCCACGTCCTTGAGCTTGCACTCCAAAGCAGCCACCCCGTGTGGAGGATAGAGCAAGCAGGGCTGCCCAGCACAGAGTGCCTGCCTCACTGCCTACTGCTTGCTAGGAGGGGAGCCTGGGCCTGCAGAAGCAAAAACCCCAGCAGGTCCTGAGCTGGGCTGGTGCTCCGAGAGGCCCCTCCTCCCGGGGGTGAGTAGGGTGACACCTGAGGAATTGGGGTCAGGAGGCAGAGAAGGTGAGAGGCAGGAATGAGCGTGTGGAGGATGGAGATGCATCCACTCTACTGCGTCCTGGGAGGCTGCTCAGGACAGCCGCTCTGCAGCCAGGGGCACCAGAGCCCCACACTCACCTTGTGACTTCCTTTCCATTCCTGTCTCTTCTTGCCCCATCCTAGGCGTGGAAGACCCACGGAAGGTGCGGTGGTGTGCCGTGGGCCCCCACGAGAGGGCCAAGTGTGATCAGTGGAGTGCAGTGAGCGGGGGCGCTTTGGCATGCACCACGCAGGACAGCCCCGAGGACTGCGTTGCTGCCCTCACGGTAGGAGAACCACCTCCCAGGCATGGGTGTAGACATGCATGTAGCATTGTGTGCGTGCACACCCTCCAAAAAACACACAGCTCCTCAGCTATTGCTTCTAGTCTTAAGCCTGGGAGTGAGACACTCATGTGAGCTGTCAATGGCTGTGTAAGATTCAACCAAGCTTTTCTGATCCATCTCTCAATGTTTACATCTGAGTTGTTTCCAAGTCTTTTGCTATGATAGAGAATGTTGGGTGGGACATCTTTGTGTTTGTAACTGTTAATATTTCTGAGGCTGTCTCTGATACTCACGCAAGCTAAAACAAGTATTTCTGGAGTAACTATATGCATGCTAATGAGCTCTTTTTAAAACATTGACTTATTTATTTGGAAGGCAGAATTATAGAAAGAGAGAATCTTTGTCCACTGATTCACTCCCCAAATAGCTGCAATGGGCAGGGCTGGTCCAGGCACAAGCCAGGAGCCCAGATCTCCAATCTGATCTCCCACTTGGATGGTAGGGACCCAAGCACGCGGGCGATCCTCTTCTGCTTTCCCAGGAGCATTAAAGGGAGCTGAATTGGGAGCAGAACAACCATATCTCAAACTGGCATTCCAAGTGCTTAGGAAAGCGCCTGGTGCGTGGGAGGGCTGGGTCAGCCCTTCTGCTGGAGGAACTGCTGTTTGCCTTTCCAGGTCAGCAAGTCGAAAGTCAAGGACGTGCACATATCTGTGTGCTTTTGTCTCAGTGGTCTTATCTGTGACAGTAAATACATTTTTTTTTGCCCTGGATTAGAAAAATGGATGGAAATGAGTTAATTATTAATTAATAAATATTTAGAAATATTACTTGCTCAAAGGACTCTAAATACAGTTGCAATGAGAGTCTGGGAACAGATTTGAACTTGGTCTTTTGAAAGGAGATGTGTGCCACACAGATTCAATGCATCCCCTAGTCTGGCCATGTAGGTCACTGAGTTGAGGGATGGTAACCCCAAGGAAGCAGTGGTGACGGCATGGGTCTCATGGGAGATGACCAGGGAAGATGGCCTGGGCTGGGCACCTGCTCCTGGTCAACAGGTCCGAAGCATGTCCAGTGTTCCAAATGCCACATTTCCATGCCAGAAGACCTGAGTGAGGACAGGTGCAACCCATGAGGTGGAAACCCGTGAGAGTCAGTGGGGCTGGAGTTGGCCTCACTGTTGAGCTGTCGCTTTGCTTCTTCAGAAGGGAGAAGCTGATGCCGCGAGCGTGGATGCTGGCCTTGTCTACCTAGCAGGCCGCTGCGGTCTGGTACCTGTCCTGGCAGAGAACTACGGTAGGTGGGGAGGGAGCGCTTTGTGTTTTCTTGGCCCTGGCTAGGGACCAAGGAAGATGAAGAGGATGGTTTGCTGCTCATTGTTGAGATAACAGGAGCCAGGCATGGGTGTGGGAGCTGGTGCAAGTCAGAACCACTTCAGATAACAGATGCAGGAATTACACACACAGAGATCAAAGGAGTGCCTTTAAGCCTGCTAGCATAAAGTTGGCAGGCATGGGGAAGAGCTGGAATGGGATTTGCCAAATCACCCTGTGTGAGAGAGGCCCACTATTCAGAACACGTCTGTTGGAGTAGCCATGGCTGAGGGCATAGGGAGCATGTTTTGTCCCAGCTGAGAAGATCTGAGCCACTCTCTCCTCTTTCGCTAGATTTCCTAGACAGTAGCTTACTCCAGCTACAGTGAGAGGGCTGGATGTGGTGGGACTGTAAGGTTCTGTCCTTTGGTGGGGATCCATCCACATGGCAAAATAAAGCTGGGGAATAAGACTTCCCTGACACCATTTATTACTCCTCAGCTGCTACATTGTCCTTCAAGACAAAACCGCTCTATTGGACCCATAAGGGTGTCTCTACAGATTTAAAAGTTGAGGCTGAGAAGAGTGAGATGCTGTGTCCATGGTATTCTAAAGACTGAATCTCAAAAACAAAATGATCGCTTACCACCGTCTGGGACTCTGGAGGGCATCGGACCCAGAAGTCCTGCACAGCTATGCTAGCGTGACTGCCAAGGGCAGCACTGGCGTCTGCCTCTTGCTCCCTTCAACAGGCATCTTTAGTGCTGTCTCTGCAACCTGCTGTGTGTTCATTCCTGGATGGGACCTCGTGTTCTGATAACACACAGCGAGGGACCAGAGCCTTACCCAGCTGATAACCAATGAGAAACTGCCCCACTCGTTTTTCTCATTTCATTCTTGATCATGGAGCTCGGGAAGTTCATGACTTTTTTTCGTGGATGGAATAACATGCAATGCCAACACCTTGAGTGTGTTTCTTCTTATTTTTAGATGCTAAGAATAGCACCGAAAGGCTTGGGTGTGTGAACAGACCCGAGGAAGGTGAGTCAGAATCAGCCCTGCTGGGTTCGCAGGTAAAGCTTTATGGTTGTGGAGAGGGTGAGGAAGGCCTTAAATTCAAACACAAATTGCCAGTTTTGGGGAAGAAAACACAATTCTTTGTGAAGGTGCTAATTTGCCTCATAGCTGTGACAATAAATCGTATCTGAGACTCCTCCCACACTGCTCTGCTCCCACTCGCTCTTCCCAGGGACTCTCTGGAGGATGGGCAGTATTGTCCCATGTTGTGCAGCTGGGAAAGTGGGCTCGGGACCTGGGAGTCTTGCCCAGGGTCACACAGGCAGGAGGCACCTGGGCGTGACTGGAACACCAAGCCCTTGCTGACCCAGCCTGCTGCTTTGCATGACATGTTCCCCATCCTTGCTGGTAGGAAGGTCGGCATGGGGCAGCAGCCCTTTCTGCCGTTGCCAGAGTGGAGCGGAGGCCTTGCAGGCAGGAGAAGAATCGTAGATGGTGCCAGTGAGGAGGACAAGGGGGAACCCGAACCCTGGCATTCCATTTCCCTGGTAGGCAGCTGAGGCTTGACAGCAGGGGACAACCTCATATAAGGGAGCTTTCCATCATCGGGGGAACTGAGTTACAACATAAAAGGCCACCAGAAGAGGATGACAGGATATGGTCCATCCATACACGTGCATGTGTTGATAGTACATCACTGCATCGGTACATGTCCATCCTATAAGGGGACACCTTCAATACCAGAATGACATAGCAGTATCCATTTGTACCGAATCAAAAACAACACATCGGGAAGAACACAAAACCCAACTCACCGAAAGGAGAGCATGGCAGAATTGCACTGAAAAAGTAGTGTGTGCATGGATCTGGGTGCATGTCTGTGAGTGGCCTGCCTGGGGAGTAACAGTGTATGTTACTCAGGCCCGGTGCCTGGTAGTGACAGCTGCGGGAAAGAGCCTGTGCTAGAGTCAGGAAGGAAGCTAGAAGAGAAGGGACACGGAAGAGGTGCAAAGGAAAATCCAACGTTCTCAGAACTTCATGTCTTCCCAGAAAGTCCTGAAGAGGAAGGCAGAGAACCATGATCAGCCCACCTTCAACATCCCATCCCTCCTAACCTACATTAAGAACACAGCTGCAGGAAAACACCGCAAGTGCAGCGGCACAACCAAGGAATGGGACAGAGGTGCAGGAGGCCCAGGGCTCCTTCTCCACCATTCAGAGATGCCATCAGATGGCCCAGGGCAGGAGGACAGCCTCACTGTTATTACTCTCCCCCGTCCCCATCTCCTGGCCAGGTTACTACGTCGTGGCTGTGGTTAAGAAGTCAGATCCCGACATCACCTGGATGTCTCTGCAAGGAAGGAAGTCCTGCCATCCGGCAGTTGGCACATCCGCAGGCTGGAACATCCCCCTGGGTTTAATATACAACCAGACTGGGTCTTGCAAACTCGGTGAGTGTGTCCTGGGAAGCAGATCTGGGCCTGGGCCTTGGGTAAGTGCAGCTCAATGAAAGGTAAGGAATTCCATCACCAGGTGCGAGGTCAAGGGCGTGATGGTAGTGGGCAAGCCCAACCTCTCCAAGAACAGGTGCTTGCCCCTTCCCTTGCTCCTTGCTGCTTGCTGAGGGGTCCCAGGATCCATCATTAGGGACCGGCCCTGGTTTTATGTCCCATCGATGACTCAGAGAACCAGCCAAGCATAGACGGTGCAGTGCATATGTGTGTGCATGTGAGAATACCATCCAGGTCTCCCACATGGGGGGAAGGTTCTGGTGCCATTCCAGAACTTTCTAGCTGGATGGAAAGTTGCTGAGTCCACCCACTCACGCCAGCTGGTAATTTATTATCACCCAGCACGTGTCTGTGCAAGGCTAGCCATGTCAGTTTCTCCCTGTCCTCCTGACTATGAGAAATGATCACTCCACTTGTCACCTGAGCTCCCCATCGCATCAGTTCCCACCCACTCACCACCAGGCTTATGTGGGTATATCTTGCCCACCACCTGTGGCCCAGCATCATCTAAAACCTTCAGAAGCCTCTCATTTCCCTAAAAATAAAGACCAGCGGTTGCAGAAATTTTCTGTATCGTCTGGGCCCTGTCCATTCCCCACTTACTGCATTCCTCTTGGAGGACCCGCCTTGGCAGCCACTTTGTCATGACCCCAGCCCACCTTGGCGGTTGTTTACAGATCCAGCCCTTCCCCCAGACACCTCCTCCTCACTTTTCTCTCTCCCTGACTCTGGCTCTGCGGCTGCAGCTCATGGACCTGTGCTTTTTCCCAGAGTCAGAAGAGAAACAAATTTACTGGTATATGTTTTAGATTTATTTTTTTAGTTTATTTTATTTGGTTCATTCCCCCAGTGATTGTAATTACTAGAGCTGAGCCGATCTGAAGCCAGGAACTAGGAGCTTCTTCTGGGTTGTTCATACTTGTGCAGGGTCCCAAGGCTTTGGTTCCATCCTCTGCTGGATGGGAAATGGAGCAGCTAGAACACAACCTGGCGCCCAGATGCGATGCTGGCACTGCAGGCAGAGAGTAAACCTGTATGCCACAGCGCTGGCCCATGGGGTGCATTCTTGCTTCTGAATGTTGCCTCATAGGCTGCAAGTCCCAAAGGAGCAGGACTCCTGCTTCTTGGGCTTCAAAGTCACCACGGCCACCAAGTACAGGAGCTCCAGGGCAGCAGACGGCAGAAAGCACATGGTTCAGGCTCAAGCAGTCCCGGCTTCTAGTTTGTCAACTTTCTTAGGGCCAACAGCTGTGTCTGAACTTCCAGAGCGGACCCCTTATTCCCCCTCTTGGTGATTCTTTGCTCCAGCAGGAATGGTTTTTAATCCCCCAGATTCTTGTTCTTACTAAAATGTTATTCAACACCTACATGTGTCGTTATATCATATGAGGAGTTTTAGGGACAGAAGCCCAGACTTTTTTTTTTGCTAACTCGGCAGCAAGAGCTAACTGTGGGTGTCTCCTTGCAGACGAGTTCTTCAGCCACAGCTGTGCCCCTGGCTCTAACCCGGGGTCCCGTCTCTGTGCCCTGTGTGGGGGCAGCAGCAGCAGTCCTGCCCATACGTGCGTTCCCAACAGCCAAGAGAAGTACTATGGTTTCAGCGGGGCCCTCAGGTGAGTAACATCTGGGCAAGATCTTCTCCCACAAACCCAGTGGGTTTTTGTCCCCTGGCCAGAGCCATCGTCCCAGCAACTGGGTGTTGTGTTGACCTGAATCAGCCAAGATGCCTAAGGACTGTGTTGCTAATAAAATTCAGAACATCCAATTGAATTGGGAACCCAGATAAACAGCAAAGAATGTTCCGGTGCAGGAGACTTACAAGAAGCTCTTGGAAAAGTCAGTAGTATGGCATGATGTTCTAAGCTGCTGCCTCTGAGGCCAGAATCCCATATGGCAGCACCAGTTCTGATCCACCTCCCTGCTGATGTACCCAAGCACCTGGGCCCCCGCTACCCGCATGGCTTCACCCTGGCCATGACCTGCTGTTGTGGCCACTGGGAGAACAAGTAGTGAGTGGAATCTCTCTCTTTCTCCATCTCTCCCTCTCCCCTTTCTGTCACTTTGCTGCTCTAATAAATAAATCTTTAAAAAAATCCAGGCAACATATGTATTATGAAAAACTATGCATGGATTTAAAAATGTTCCCACCCAAATAAAGTTTACTTCCATTTTCCACAAATCACCCAAACCTGGGCCCTTTTCTGTCACGTCCTATGAGGGTGCACACACTGCTTGTTCCAGCCCCTCTGTCTCTTTCTGTCTCATTTCCCTCTCGCCCTGCAGGGTGGTTTCTTGGTCTATGGCAGGAAGTATTTGGGACCAGCAGGCCCAGTGCTTTGGCCAGAGAGGAACATCACATGCCAGACCCAGCTGCCAGGAAAGGGGCTGGCAGCCCCGTTTGACTGCCAGCTTCCTGCCCGCCCAGCTCCTGCGGTGAAGTCACGTGGCAAGGTCATCCCCCTCCTCTGGCACAAGGCGACTGAGCTGAGCCAGATGGGAGGAGTCGGTTCTCAAAAAAGTAACAATACATAAGTGACCACACTAGAGAGAAAAAAAATTTTATTTATATAGGAGAGTATATGTCATGTATCTCATATAAACAGCATTTTTATTCATTATTTGAAAGAGTTAAGAGGGAGGTGGGAGAGACAGAAAGATCTTCCACCGGTTGCCTCACACCCTCAATGGTGTAACAGCCAGGGATGGGCCAGAATGGAGCCAGGAGCTTCATCTAGGTGTCCCACGTGGGGGCAGGGACCCAAGAACTTGGGCCATCTTTTGCTGCTGTCCCAGGAAAATTAGCAGGGAGCTGGATCGGAAGTGGAACAGCCAGGACTGTGCTGTCAGCATTGCAGGTGGCAACTTAACGTGCCATACCACAATTTTTGCCTCTCCCATTTATGCAATGTTAAGGGCATAATGCTATTTCCTATCCTACCCGCTCTCATTCCCTCCCTTGCCCCCACCCTCCTTCCTCTTCCCCTTCTACTTTTTCCGTAGAGCTTACAATGACATACTTTCTCTTACTTTACACTCGCCAGCCTAACCCGACTAAAGAAGGAATCCCACAAGTAATAAGCAGAAAAACCATTGTTCCTCAAGAGTGCAAGGCTATAAACAATAATCAAACCTCCAAAAAAGCTATTTTGCTCATATACATAACATTTTTTTATACTCTGCATATTGCATAATCATGGCCACAAATCAGGAAAAACATTTGATATTTGTCTTTTGAGGGTGTGCTTACTTAATTAAGCAGCATAAATTTGTATTAAAAAAAAAAAGAAAGAATTGTGTTTCCCTTAGGTATAAAACTCAAGATTCAATACTGTGGCAATAATGAATACAGAATCATTTAAATACCAGAAAACAAGTGGAGGAGAATAGAGCTCCAACAGAGATTCATGAACATATTGTAATTTGGCTTATAACAAAAGCGACATTTCAAATCCATAAGGGAAAGATGAACTTGAGAGATCAAATACGATTAAGTCTAAGAAACGGTGTCCAAGCTGGGAATCCTGGCTCGCGGCTGCTGCCTGAGTTACTCCCGGAGCAGGCCTGACAAGGGCAGGGAAGGTGAGACACATCCCGTGCCAGAGACAGTGAGAGCGATCCTTCCCAGGAGCTGGGAGGAGTGTGAGGTCATGGGGGCTTGTTATTAAATTTTTTAAAAGATTTATTTTTATTGGAAAGGCAGCAGATTTAGAGAGAGGAGAGACAGAGGGGAAGATCTTCCATTTGCTGGTTCACTCCCCAAATGGCCTCAAAAGCCAGAGCTAGGGCCTCACAGGTCCTCCCACTCCTGGGGCTCATGGACCTGGCACCCACCGCACAAGTGGGCCCAAAGACCTGGGTCCCACCGGGTCCCCCGCACCTTAATAGGAGGTTTTCTCCTGTTGCATTCCCACACCCTGCCAATGGTGTGAGAATTGCTGTGTGGGAATGCTGGGCCGGGTAGAAGGGGTGTGAGCCTCCCCCTCCTTGCTGATCCAACCCTTGCCACACAGGTGTCTGGTTGAGAAGGGTGATGTGGCCTTCGTGAAGCATAGCACGATCCTGCAGAACACTGGAGGTAGGGTCCTGCAAGGTCCTGTGCTGCCCACAAAAATCCTTCATGTCTCGTCACACTAGACCAGGGTTGCTTATCACACTGGCCTTGAACCCAACTGGCAAGCATGCAGAGGCCATGCTAGTGTGGGCACACGTGGCTCTCCTTCAAGGGCAAGGGGGCATTCTTTGTGTATCAGAAGTAAATCCTGGTCAGCTTTGTATATGGAGATGTCCCCCATCTCAGTGGCTTCCCTTTTCCCTTCTTTCATGGAAGGGCACACTTTCTGGATTTGAATACACACTTTGTTCTAGTTATCATCCATCTGAAAGGTTACAAATCTGTGAGTCAGTGGGTTTTTGTCTTCTGTTTTATTTAGAAGCTCTATAGTTGCATTCCTCTCTATCTCTGTGGCTCTCATGGCCCTGGGGATACCAGGGATCAATCACACTTCCCCACCCCCGTAAGGCCACCTTGGCATTGGCCATCCGCTGCAACAGACCTACCTGCTTTTTCTCCCCAGGCAGGAACCCCGAAGCATGGGCTAAGGATCTGAAGGCAGAAGACTTTGAACTGCTGTGCCTCAATGGCACCAGGGCGCCTGTCGGTGAGGCTCCCAGCTGCCACCTGAGCCGAGTGCCAAACCATGCTGTAGTCTCAAGGAAAGAGAAGGCAGATTTTGTCAGCAGGATACTCTTCAACCAGCAGGTATAGACACCCGGGCCTCCGTTCACATCTGGATGTGTCCAGACACACCTTAGCCCAGCCTCACACCCCTTCTCCCTGCACACTAGGGCCTCTCTCTCTCAACTTAGCTTCTCCTGCAGCTAGTGAGTGGCTATCTCCAACTTCTTATTCCCCCAAGTATCAGACATGGACAGCTAGAGCATCTTCCCAAGGCTCGCTCAACTCCGAGCCGACTTGTGGTGCCTCTCAGGCTTGTTCACCTCCTCCAGGAGCATCCATCCTTCTGTCATGGAAGTACGGGACTTACTCAGCACCCATCGTACTAGGCTGAGCTGCGGGCAAGCAAAACAGAATGGTAGTTACGTGTTCTGACTCATGGTTGACCCAAGGGTAAGCTGGACACTGTCTCAGGCTTCATGAAAGCTAGAGTCTAAGACTAACTCCTGTGCCCCTTCTAGGAAGCTGCTAGGGCTGACCTGAGGAGGTAGCATGCTACTCAAACCCTGACATCTTATGGAAGACTCAAAGTTTCCTGTGCCTTTGGCACTAGCAAAACTGAACCTTGTAGGTGCCCTGAACTAGAAATCCATGTCTTAGCATCTGCTGCCTTCGCATCCCAGTGAGAGCTGGAAAAACAAGAGAGGTTTCCAGTTGTGGACTTTGAAAGGGAAAAGTTCCATTCAGAATGAGTTGCCACCTTGGCCACAAGAAAAGTGGGCAAAGGGAGAGAGAGGAGGGGGAAAAGAGATGGGAACGGCCTGGTTCCTGAGGCAGGCCAGCACAAAGAAGAGGCAAAGCGACAAGGGTTCCAGGCAGCAGAAAGCCCTGCAAGGTTGATCCATGATTTGGGAATATCTGGCAGGGGTTGGGGAAGTGGTCATGCCATCGTAGTCATGCAGGAACTCTTCGTGTGTCTCACTTGTTTCACACATATGTGAGCTTTAAAAGTCACACTATGCCGAAAGGATGCATGGATTTCAAACCTGTTTTACACCCAAGCCTACATCTTTTAAGCCCATTTTCCCACATGCCCTCTAAAGTTTCCGCATCCCTCATCTCACTGTTTCTTGTCATTCTCTCTTTTGCCCAAGGAGTCCGCTGAACTCCATGGACTTTCCAGAAGTCCACTCAAGGAAGGGACAGGCCCTTAGTTGAGCTCAGAGACCACACTTTGTTGTTGTTTTGTAGCAATTCCACACTTAGGTTGCCACCCTCAGCTCCCTGGAACCAGCAATCACTCCCAAGCGTCTCTGTCCAACCCAGGAACTCTTCGGAAGAGATGGATTTGAATACAGGATGTATCAGCTATTTGGGTCCTCCACCCGGGACCTGCTGTTCAGTGATGACACGGAATGCCTGGCCAACCTTCAGAACAAAACCACCTATGAAAAATACCTAGGGCCAGAGTATCTGAAGGCTATTGCTGACATAAAACCGTGCTTAAGCTCCAGTAAGTAGAATGAACCAAGTGAGAAGCAGCGTGGGAACGGAGATGGATGCGGGTGTTGAGGACTGTGAGGCTGAGGCCCTGCACAGTACTGAGAGGAGCACAAAGAGGTGGAGGGCCGGCTCCCTGCCCTGTGGGGGATTAACACTCGCTAGGGAATGACCCAGTTAGACATTGGCATCACATCTTCTGAAGGAGACAGGGAATGCAAAAATAGAACTTGAGATCACTTAGGCATTGAACTTCTTTTCATGCATATTTATTTTTACCAGTAGGGTGAAAACATGCAGAGGCAGTGGCGGGAGGAGGCTTGGGGAAGGGCGTACTCAATCTACCACCCCCAGAGGACCTCTTCTCAATGATTTTAAGTGTAGAAGTAAAATGCATGCAGCATTATGCATCGTTGGCACTAGAGTTGGCCCCTTCTAGCTCCATCTGCTTTGGGGGTAGCATAGCTGTCTCAAAAAGTGATAAACTAGGAAGCCACGTTAGAGCTAGGCTAAGCACTTGCCTGGGAGGAGGACTGAATGTTTGTTGGATTGTACTGTGTGTCTGAGATGATGACAGCGACCTAAAAAGAAAGCATTGGAATTTAAGGAAAACCTTTAAGCACTTAGGAGAGACTTTTGTAAAGTTCGTATAAATGGCTGTTTACTTCTGGATACTGTTTGCCAAGCCCTGGCAGCCACTGAGGTCTTTCTCTTATGTCGCTTCACAGAACTTCTGGATGCCTGCACATCCTTGGGGAATTAGTGGCAGATCCCTGTGGGCGGCTCAAGCAGAGTGTGGCTACATCCTCCCATGCCTTTCTAAATTCACAGCGATCCTCTGTGGTGATTCTGTGCTGTAAGTGATGCAAAAGTTAAAATGAATAAAAATTGTGTCTTCTTTGGAAACTCCACCAGATTTTGTGTGTGTGTAGAGAAAAATTCTTTATCCCAGAGTTGTGCATCTGTGGCTGTGTTTATTCAGCTGTTCTGTTCTTTTTCAAATTCCACAAGCCTAGTTCAATTTCCGCCATTTGCATACAGTCTAAGCAACAAGTCTGGAGAAAATCTGACTGGTGATGACCAGGGGACAAAAAATCAGCATGTGTAATACCTAGGAAAGACATACTGAAGAGAAAGGATGGGAATGATTTTGTGTATTTTTCAAATCTATATTTTAACATTTTAGGCTGATAAGGTTAAGTGGAATTAAGTTCTTGATTTCAAGTCACTGGAAAATATTAAAATCACTGCTTTCACAGTCAACTTCCTCAAAGTACGACATATGTCCATTTCTTGTAAATAGGTTTCTTATTAGAGACTGGACTGGGACAAGCCAAAGCTAGGAGCCCCAAACTCCATCCAGGTCTCCTGTATGGGTGGCAAGTGCCCAGGCATCTGAGCCGTCATCCAGTGCTTCACAGGATGTATACGCAGCAAGCTGTATTGGAAACAGTTGAGCCAGGACTTGAACTAGCACTGTAGCACGGCATGTAGGCCTTGCTAGTGGCAGCTTAACGTTGTGCCATAATGCCTAACCCTCAAATAAATCTAAAAGAAAACAGAAAAAACCTTTTTTACTCCACTTTCTCCCTGGGGAGAATATCCGTACATCATGGTGCTAGGAGGAGCACCCACCCGCAAGAGCCATAGCACTAAGGAAACGGATTAGGATGTTCAAGGCCAAGGTGCTGGAATGTGTGGGTTGAGAACCAGAAACAGCACAGCCTTGCAGAGAAAACCCTCCCAAGATCTGTGCACGAGAGGCCTGGGGTCTTGAACAAACGACAGTCTGCAGCGTGCAGAACGCAATAGAGATCCTGAGCCAGGCAAAGAATGACTGTGAAGATGCCCTCACACGTGGCCTTCCCCAAACGCCTTGTGTGTTTCATAATATCTTTCCAGGGTAACTGGGAACTCTCCAAAAGACGTTCAATGCCTTGGTCCTCACCATCACTGAGGGCTGTGCCCCACTGAGTCACACTTCTTGTAACAGCTTCTCCATGTACTCATGTAGCCAAAAATTCTAGGAGACCTATACAGACCTCAGGGTCTCTTTCTCTGCAGTCCTTACTCTTCTGCAGTGCAACTTCTTCACTGTCCACTCTCCCTGATCCCTATTCCCTCAGCACGGGGGACTGCCCTGCTCTGCTTGGTCACTCGTCCTTGTGTTCAGTGAACAAAACTGCAGAACTCAACTTGCTGTGTTTCTCTCCCTTCTCAAGTTATACGAACTGGTTCTGTCAATTATCTGAAAACAGTTACTCAGTGTGTCTGGCTAAATTTCTCCCTGCTTCTGATGGGAGGCTTGTCCAAGGCTGGTTACTCCATCAGAAGAAGGGGAAGTCTTTCTAGTGTTTTTTGATACTTGATTTCATTCCAGGCATCTTGCTCCCAATGCCAGCAATGTTTACCTTCATACACATTGTCTATGCAGTTGGTGAACAGTCCTGGAAAGGGTGTGCGACTTAGAGAAATTGGGCATCTCTGGCTTTAAGGAGCTGGAGTTGGAGCTGTGCTGAGGAAGCCCGGGGAGACGGAGGGAAACAATGACTTCAGATGAAGCCCTGCCCAGGCAAAGTGCCATCGAGCGCAGACTCTGCCAGTGTTCTTTCTAGGTGCCCACCTGTGCTCTCTCACTCACCTGTCCGTTCTTGGGGATCAGGTCAATCTGTGGAAGAACGGAAGTGGAGTCGAAAACTTCTAGGTTTGACTCTCCAGCTTCTTAGAAAACCTGGATGAGCTACTTGTCTATTCTTGTCTGTTCTTTGATTAGCAGGAATACAAATATTTTCCTCTTCATTATGGTGATTTGTCACCTTGTTATTGCAGTGCATAGCAGCCACCAACATTGGTCATGAACACTGTCATTATCGTACTTACCTACCTACTGCACCATCAGCGAATTGACAAAGTGACTCTGGGTAGCTTCTGCCTGGCTCCCTCCATGACGACTGAGTCCTTCAGCAAATCATCTAGGACAATGACCTCATAATTCAGGGAGAAGTAGGTCCAGTCAGAGGGCATAACTGGTCGGCTGTCCAGCAGAGCAGGGCATGCCAGAACTGAGGTCTTTGGACTTCAATGTTCCGAGATGCCCTTGTGCTCCTGTGATATTCCTGTCTCAGAAAAATGCAATTCATATTTTCTTCCAAGGTGATCTAGGGGTTTTTCTTATTGTTTCTTTCTTAGCAAGAGAAGCCATGTCCCAAGATCTTTCAGGTGGGCCCACTGCAGGAGGCTGATTAAGTTGAGCAGAGTCCAGTGGCTATAGGGCCAAAACAAACAGATCACTGACCTCTCTACTGCCCCTGTTGTTTAATGTCCCCGCTCACCATGGGAAAAGAAGATCAACGTCCACCTGGGATTTCAGCTGTGCAAAGCAGACCTCTGACCTGCGCAGATTTACAAACAAGTGCTGCCCGTTGTTGGTTTCTCTAAATGAGCTGTCTTTGCCTTCTTGTTCTTTTATGCAAGTCAAAATAAATGCAAGACGGAAGGGCCAGCACTGTGGCATAGCGGGTAAAGCTGTCACCTTTAGTGCCAGCATCCCACATGGGCAAACATATGGAGTTCTGGCTCTCTGCTTCTGATCCAGCTCCTTGCTAACGCGCCCGGGAAAGCAGTGGAAGTTCTTGGACCCCTACACCCATGCAGAGACCCAGAAGAAGCTACTGGCTCATGGCCTCAGCCTAGCCTACCCCTGGGAGTTGCAGCCCGCTGGAGAGTGAACCCGCAAATGGAAGTGCCCTCTCTGCACCTTTCCTTTTCTCTCTGTGATTCTGTCTTCCAAATAAAAAAATAAATCTTTTTAAAAGATCATAAAACAAATCAATACAAGATGTGAAAAAAAAAAGCCTCTTTAGAGTATCTATCGATAGGTAAGTGTAGAAGGGATGATGCAATCAGAAAACCATTTGGCAACTAATACTTTACCGATTCACTGTGACAACCGTCTACGAGTGACAAAACTAGTGAGCAAAAGTCTGAGGAAGGAAAAAGAACAGTCCCACAGTATCTCTGCACAAATAGCTCCTTGATTATGAAAGGAAAAAACCCTCATAGTTTATCAGTGAAGACACCTGTCAGATAACACATCAACCAACGTTAAGAGAACCAGTAAGCAGTCAGTCAGTATTGGGCTCCCTGTGACACCACAGCCCCGAGTGCCTAGTCTGCTTCAGTTACGTGCTTACACCAGGAAAACGCACAAACACCTCTGTCGAGCAGCCTGAGATACCACATAAAGGAATGCCTAGATGTGAGTCTCAGCCCCGCTCCCAGGCCCAGCTGGAGTTCCAGGCTCCTGCCCTGAGCCCGGGTCTGGCCTCGTTCCATCTTTCACAGGCGTTCGCGGTGAGCTAGTCCATCGGGTATATCTGCCTGTTCATCTCTCACTCTGCTGTTCAAACAAATAAGAAAAATTCTAAAGAAGCAGTTAACAGAATATAGGAAAATGTGAAAATGATAAAAGGTAATTACCAAATGTAATTTGTTTCAGGAATATGAATTATTATTTTGAAGTATTAACCAATGGTATTGCCTATATTAATAAAGTAATGCAGAAAAATTATATGACCATATATTAATTGGTATAACAATACCATTTGATAAAATTCCATGTATATTTATAATAAATCCCCTAAATAAATCTGCTTTCAATCAGATTATTATTATTATGCTTGCATGTACTAACAGCTATGGAAGTCACCTAGTTGTACAGTGTTGAAGGTAGGCTTTCTCTCGGAGATCAACAAGGAGGGGCCAATGTTGTGGCATAACAGATTAAGTCAACTCATGCAGTGCTAGTCTCGCACACGGGCGCTCCACTTCCTCTCCAGCTCCCTGCTGGTATGCCTGAAAAGGCAGTGGAACATGATCCAGGTCCTTTGCCCCTGCACCCACAGGGAGACCTGGACAAACCTCCTGTCCTCCTACTGGCCCAGCCCTTGCTGCAGCCATTTGAAAAGTGAACCAGCAGATAGAAAATCTTCCTTTCTCTCTCTCTTGCTGTAACTCTGACTTTCAAAGAAAGAAGCAAATCTTTATTTGATTAAAAACCAGAACCCAAAACCAGAAACCTTGAGAATCTTCCATTGCTCAAGGACAATGGCACAGCAGAGAGGAGGGCTGGCATCTCTGGCTGTATTCAGAATGCTTGCCATTTTCCGAAAAGGTTCTTGCCCTGATTCCCACCTATGCTGCTGTGCCCTTGACCCAGTAGGCCCATGGGGCAGGGGAGCGGCCTTCTCAGCCCTGGTTCCCAGGCCACCAGCTGCCAGGCTGTTGCCTTTCGACAATGCCCCTAGACTCAGGGTTGCTGAGAGGGCGGTCCTGGCGTCTGGTGTCAGGCCGAGGACACTGCGGGAGGCAGTGAGGGATGGCCCACCGCAGACAGAGAGGCTCTTTGTTTGCTCTGCTTCTGTGTAAATTGGGCAACACTTAAAAACAACAAATATTGGTTCTGAAGTCCAGTGTCTTCCTGCCCACCCCCCTCCTGGGCAGCTGTCCCAGCTGCCCTGCACGTACACACCAGCCCCGCTGTTTGTCTCAGCTGCCAGCTCTGTGGCGGGGACAGAAGAATTAGAATCTGTTCGTAGCGGAGGCCTTGGCTCACGCTTGCGAAGGTCTGGGAGTGAGAGTTCCTTACACTCCACTGTGTCTCTCTCCACCTCCTTCTCTCTGCCACCTCTGGCCTGTGCTGCTCTGCATCTAGATAAAGGAAGCAAGAAGAGCAATAGCCAGCAGGTAGTGGTGGTCCAAAGCAGGGATCCAGGACCCCTGGGTGTGGGGCTCAGTGACCCAGGAACAAGAGTCCATTGCTTCATGGCAGTGTCCACCTCTGGACAAATACAGGACCGATCTTCCTTTCAAGGGCTTTTGCTCCAGATCACAGGCTGTTACCCCAGATAGCACACAGCTCATGCCAGGGGCTAAACACACGGTGTTGTCTACGTTACACACATCAGTCAGCCCGGATCCTTGTTCTCAGAACTTTCCCAGACTGACCAGCCCCGCCCTTTGTGTGTCTAGGGGGGATGGCAGAACGGGGAACGCTGGGTCCATCTCTGTCTGCAAGTGACCCAGTGTCCCCGGAGGGCGGACATACACACTGGCGGGGACCAGGTGACTTCATTCTGTATTGTCAGTCCTGCTGACCTGGGGTGAGGCAGCGCCCTCCCTGGATGGCGGCTTCCTGAGCTCATCTGTCTGTAAGGCAAAGACGCAAAGCGTGCATGTCACAGGGCTGGGGTGGGCACTCGGCACAGCTCTCTATAAATCCCACTTGTGAAGGTGGGACCGAGGGACGTGAATGTCCTGACTCCCGTCGGCCTCTGGGATACAATCACACGATGTAAGGGAGTGCATGGAGGCCACTGTTGTGAGCTGCCAGGGGCACAGCGTAACGTGAGCCTCTTCCTGCTACACACCCCACAGACATCAATAGGGCCCAGCACACCACGGGGCTACGCACAAGACGCTCACTCCAAGCACTGGCCTCATCCCTGACGGCCTCTCCCGGGGCTCTGTTGCCCTCTGGTCCTAAGCCAAGGTGTAGACCTCTGCATTCAGCTGATAGAAGAGCTCATGTCCTCCACATCTCATCGGAGCTGCTCCAGACCCACTTTCTTTGCAACCCCCAGGTAGCTTGGAGTCAGGGCACTCCACAGAGGGCAGGACACTGGGTGGGCGGCTCTGGGGAAGGGGGTCTCAGCTTGTCTGGTGCTTGCTCCCACCAATGGAAACTGTGGCTGGAGGGGTGCTCAGAGGAGCTCACAGTATGACTGTAGGAGGTGCCTGGCAGGAAGGCTCATTGCTCAACTGCCTCCCGTGCCCTGCCTTGCACTGTGCCTACCTGAGTTTGTGGCATTAGCTCAACACCAGGAAATCCCCTTCCTACTTCCTGGCAGTACCTACTGCTCTGCCAAATGCTTTCCAGGCAGCCCTGTCCCTGGAATCCCCTGCTCCTATCTTCATTTTCACATTCCTGTCTCAGGTTCCCTGTAGGAATCTAGGCCAGCCCCCAAGGCCTCCTGCAGGGTGGCGGGCATGGGGCGGGCGGGCAGGCCAAGAGTCTTATCTTCCCATGGCTCAAGCACAGGAGGTCCCAGAAGAGCACAGTGGGTCGGAAGAGATGCAGCAGCGAGGGGCAGGAGTGTGGAAGACCAGGCTTGTCTCTTATCCGCATGATTAACAAAAAAACCTGCTAAAGTGATGACCTGTAATATGGGATGTGTGTGGCCCCTTTGTATATAAGACAGTCACATGCAGCATGAGATATCATAACCCAACTTCCAGTTACACTTGTGATTATTGCAAAAGTTGAATAAATTCCACAACACATGTATGTTGGCCCTAGTGCCCCACTAGGGTCTCTGGGGGGCAATCACATGGGACCCCTGAAGACGGCTCCATGCACAATAGGATGGGTCACTGATGGGTGCCAGAGGTGTGTGGCATCCAGCCTTGTCCTCTGCTTCCAGCCTTTCTGTTCCTACATCTTGTGGTTTGTGTGTGCCCGAGGAATGGGACTTCAGATGACATAATCTGGGTTTCATGCTTTGATCTTAAGATGGACAAGCGCGTTACAGGAAGGGGCTGGTGTGCTGGCATGGCATGGCAGGTCAAGGCTCCCACTCAGCTGAGTGCGTGGGCTCCTGCAACTTGGGGAGAACAGACGGAGTTCCAGGCTCGTGACTTTGGCCTCATCCAGCCTGACTGTTGTGGCATCGGGATGTGAACCCGTGGCAGTCTCCCTCTCTCTCCCCTACTTAGCCCTTCAGATTTTTTTTTTAAGAGAAAAATTTTCTGATAAAACAAACACAAATGTAACAAAAATAAAGTGGATGCTACTTCTCCTGAACTTTGCTTGTTAGATCCAATGCAGCGCCAGCGACCACCCTGGCGGAAGGACCGGGAGTAGCTTTGTGGAAACACCTACAGCTCTCTGAAGGACTCTGAAATCCAGATTCCCACCTTGCCGAAGGAACCTTGTGCCTTGAGACTCACCCTCCGTGAGGCACTGGACGCAGAAGAGCATTTGATAGCGAGGGGTAAAGTGGGCGTTTGGTCTAATGGTGGAGACTGGTGAGGACACCCACCCTCCGCATTGGAGTGCCTGGATTCCACTGGACAGCGGCAGTGGCTCTGGTTGCTGCTCCTGCTGCCCAGAGGAGGCAGGAGTGAGTTCCCACCACTCGCCTGCGGCCCAGACGTGGCCTCTGTGAACATCTGAGAAATGGGTCAGGGGTTAGGAACAACCCCTCTTCCTCTCTGCGGCTCAAATAACAAAACAGATGAGTGTTTGCTCTTGAACTTGCCCTTTTAGAAATCTCTATACCTTGTGCACGATGGAAATGCACACAGTTTTTAGTTAGAGAAACGGGAATCCACAGAAAGTGTGTGCTCCGTATCTTTCTGTGTGAGGATGAGGATACGGTCAGGCTAGCTGGAAGAGGCAGACAATCTGAGGCTTTACCAGGCCTGGTGTGCCCTTGGGCGGCTCCCCAGGGGCTGACCTGGCCCCGTGTTCCCAGCATCACCGTTCCTGGCCGCTTCTCAGGAAAGCTCATTTCCCCTTTGTTCTGTCCCTAGGCAAGGAAAGGCTGCTTGCCCAGGAGCCTTGGCTCAGCTGTCTGGGCAGGCTTGAGGGAGCCCAGCAGTTTCTGGGGAGGACCACAGGATGCCACAGCAATTCTTCTTAAGCTGGCTTCCCTCCCAGGAAGGGATTTGCCTGCAGTACTCTGGTTGGAGGGAGGCAAGGGTCCCCGGGTGTTCTCCTTTCCCTGCAGGTCTGCATCAGTCTTTCCACCTGCGGGTCAGGCAGATGGGTGGCAGCACGCCTTAGCTCCAAGCCGAGCCATTGCCTCCCTCCCGTTGTAGCCACCATCCTGGCACGGAGCGAGCCGCAATGACAGGGGGAGGGCTTTTCTTTGTTCCTTCCCTAAAAGCAGTTTTTGTGCTAGATCCCACGCGCGGGTCCAGCAGGAAATTTGATCAGCGGGGCGAGAAAAGGGGGTAGAAGGGGGAGGGGGAGGGCCGATTGGGCAACTCGGCTGCGCAAACACGCCAGGTCAAAGATTGCGCCTGGCTCTCCCCCGCGGCAATAAAGGGGCGTCGGGCGCTGGCAGGAGTTGCAGAAGCGGGTCAGTCTGCGCTCGCCGCTCCTCGCCACAACTCCCGACCTCCAGGATGAGGTTCTCCGTGGGTGCCCTGCTGGCCTGCGCCTTCCTGGGTGAGTGTGTACAGGCGGCAATGCCGCGTCCGGTGTCCCCGCGGCCGGAAAGCACCGTGGAGCCGCGGGGACACCGGACGCCCGCGGCACGCAGGTTGGAGGTCCCCGAGCCCACGCTTCATGCTGCCCGCCGCAGCCCTGGGTTCAGTTTGCAGCACTAGGAACCGCAGGGTCCTGTGCGTTCCCTGAGCGCTTGGCGGCAGCCTCTTTGGCAGCTGGGGGTGGGGGGCGCTCAACGAGAGCATTTGGAATCCTAGGTTAGGGAACCCGAAGAGCTGCTGCCTGCCAGATCCAACCTCCATAACAGAGCGTCCCGCGCACCACGGATCCCACCCATGCCAGCTGTCAGAGTCTGCGGTTCTCATGTCCCGCTAGATGGAGGGTCAGAGTGTGGGATGTGAGACCAGACTTCTGGGGTCGGGATCTTGGGCTGGCTGCTCCCCGCGCAAGCGAGGTCTTAACAGCACCTGCAGGGTTAAGGTGAGGGGAAAGTCTTGGATGCCAGGTACCAGAGGAAGTGACTGGAGTACACACACACCCTGTTGCTGATCGCGCCTGCCCCCCACTCTTCCCAACTTACTGGGTCCTCTGACAGTCGTCTGTGTTAGCCATCTGTGGGGCATTCATCACACCATTGGAAGACTCCACATTAAGCAGTCTGTTCTCCTCCTGGGGAGAGAAAGAGAGAGAGAGAGAGGAAGAGAGAGAGCCAAACACTCCTCACACACCCTCCCAACCCCCAACACCTCCTACCCTCGGCCTCGGGGCAGCACAGTAGGATTCAGATCTGGAGACAATCCATTGCCTATGGAAACTGCACGGAGGGGTTGGCGGGGGGAGTGTGCTGTGGCTCCTGAAGCCCCCTGTGATTTCCCAGGGGGCTGAGGTGGGATAAGGAGATGTGGGGGTCCGGCCTTGCCCCTCCTGCAGAACTGCTTTGTGGAGCTGGGAGTTCTTAGTCAGCTTGGGCTGTGTTGGTCCCCCAGGGCCATGAGATGATGGAGGGCTTCGGAAATGATGTCCACATTCTGACAGGGACATTCTTGCACCACCTCTGAGATTTGAATAGCTCTCCCCAGACCTGACTCCGGCCTTTAAATGGCAGCCAAACAGAATGGTGAAAAACAAGGAAGGATTCAGTGGGAGAATGGGAAGGCCTTGGCTGGGTGGGATTTACAGTTTCATCTCTAGACCAGAGGGTGGCAGTGAGAGTGCCAGGCAAGGAAAGAATATTTATACTTGTTTGCCTCCAACTCCTGGTGAAAGAAGGGCACGATCACTAGGAGGAATGTTCCCCTGTGTCTCAGGCAGCACGGTCAGGAGGCTGGAGATCCAGGTCCCAGGGCTGGCTCAGCACCACCGAGCATCAAGTCTCTGATCTGTGTGACATCAGTTCCTACCCTAGTGGCTTTCCAGATGGTGGTGTTCAGTTCCTGTGGGTGCTGTGGTGGGAAGCTCAGGCTCCAGGCAGGACAGGGGCCATGTCAGTAAGGAGAGGCTTGGGGTGAGCTTCCAACTCTACCAGGGAGATCTACTTGGTACACAGTGAGAGGCCGTTAGGGTGTCCTCCTCTGACCCCCTTGCGCCATGCTGTTCATGGGTGAGAATGACCCAGAGGACAGCACAGAAGGGACACGGCCAGGCAGGCACTTCAGGGGTGGAGCCCTGATCCTCATGTCCTCTCTGTCCCCCAGGGCTGTGTCTGGCTGTCCCCGAAAAAACCGTGAGATGGTGTGCCGTAAGCGAGCATGAGGCCAGCAAGTGCACCAGCTTCCGTGACAACATAAAAAAAGTCCTCCCTGATGGGCCCCGAGTCATTTGTGTGAAGAAAACAACCTACCATGATTGCATCAAGGCCATCGCGGTAAGTGGCTGCCGTCTGAACACCCTCACTTTCTCAAGCCTCTCGGGGTCAATCCTGACTCACAGGTCGGAGGCTGGCTGACCACTCCCCCACCTCTGGGATACAGACCACTTCACAAACAGCAGGTCGGGGAGGCCACTGTACTGTACGTGCAAAAAGGAGGCCAATGGATTCTGAAAGGTGGCTGTATCTGAATCATCAATTTCTCTGAATTCAGATTAAAAACAGGGTCATCTTCTATCGAAGTCATCGGGCAGAAGAGCAAGACACAGAGAGGTGAACTAAAGCGTGGTGACTTCAGGTCATGGCCGAGTCCTTTGATTCCTAGGTTAACAAAGGCTCTTGCTCCTCTGCTGCCCCTGTGCACCTGCTCATGACTCAGGTGCCACGCTGGGCAGTGGGGCTGCCATGGCAACTTCAGCCCACACAGTCCTTAGCCTCAAGGAGCTGAGAAGGTAAGGAGAAAAGGCACACAGGTGAAAAACTAAGTTCAAAATGTGGGATGTGCATCGAAGGCCAGAGTAGAGAGTTTGGGACTCACCCAGGGAATCTGGCATTGACCTGGCTGGTCAGGAATAATCTCTCTGAGAGGGGAAATAGTGAAGCTGAGATCCGAGGACGAAGTCTGGGTAAGTCCTGCCAAGAGTTACGGATGAAGGACAGTAGCCCGTGAAGACAGCAGGTGTGAAGGGCCAGAGCCTGAGCACAGCCAGGCTTGCAGGGGTTCCTAGAAGGAGACCAGGATGCTGCGAGCAGTCCAAGGTAAACGCTGCCACGTATCAGTGCGTGTGGATTTTGTTCAGTCCCAAGCTCACAGCAGGGAAGGGGCTGAGCTCCATTCTGACGTATGCAGAGGCAGACTCTGGTGTTTGAAAGGGACGGTGAGGGAGGCGGAGGAGCTTAGAGGCTCAGTAGAGTCAGAGAGGGCAAAGTTACGAAGGGGTGGTCCATACAAGTGATATTAGGCCAGCTCTGTTGACTAGCTGTCCCCTAAGACAGCTCAGGTTCGAGTCTTCCCCAGCAACTGATTATTATATTTCAAAGGAACAGCCCTTGGGTCCTTGAGAGAGCTGCTGTGAGCCACGGGAGATGCATAGTCATCTTAAGTAAATGCTCTTAGAAAGGTGGATGGGGCCTGGTACCTTCAGCTGTGTACAGGCTAGAACAAATAACCCTCTTTGCAGGGAACATGGTGTTTTCTCAAGCAAGCACATGAAGGTGGACTAGGGCATCCCAGGAGCATGGCCTTGATCTGTGCTATAGCGTAATGGTCCTGACTCAGTGCAGGGGTCATTGGTCACCTGCAGAGAGAGCTGCATTCTGAGAGTAGAGCCAGCAGGAAGGCACAGGCAGAGGGGAAGGACGGAGAGGCAGACAGGGGCCAGAGGGAGCATGGCTCACCTTGGGCAGTCAGTACACCTGCTGAGCATCTCCTCTGTCCCTTCCTGCTGGCCTTGCCCCTGGCTTCCCTGCAGTCCACTCACTGCAGCTCCTCAGCTGGCCTCGCTCATGCAGACCCACAAGGTCATGCTCTGTCTGCCCCGGGCAGGTTCCCCTAAGAATCCCCACTGGCCTCCTCTCCTGTTTGCCATCTAGTTCGTTGCCCCCTGAACAGCAGAAGCCATGGTGACTGCGGCCTCAGGATCCTGGGGTCCTGGCCAAGAAATCCCAGTTTCTGGTCACTCTTGCGGACTGCACTGCGTAAGGACAAGGGGACAGGTTCTTGTTTGCTGATTCTTTCTTACTCAGTGGACTGAGTGGTGAAGTGGGGAAGGTGCCTGCAGGGCTGGACAAAGCCACCGAGAAGGTTCCACAACCTGACTCTAGCTGGTGTAGAACACAGGATCTACCATGTCTCCTAGCTCTTTGTGAGACTCCAAGTGGGCGCACCAACTCTGAAAAAACTTCTTGTGTTTTTGTCTTACTAACATCTTTTTATAATGCCAACATTTGTTGATGCATGCATGGATAACAACATCAGTTATAAACAATGAAATTTTTCAGCCTTCAAAAGAAATGAAGTTAAAATGCCCACCACTTTGGATGAAGGTTGGAAACTAAGCCAAGTAAGCCAGATACTAAAGGACATGTTTTCTATGATTCTGCTCCTATGAGTTGCCTAAGGAAGGCAATTCCTAGAGGCAGACCCAGAACAAGGGGCGTGAAGTATGTGGTGACTAGAACGGGACTTCTGTTTGCAAAGATGAACAGGTTCTGGGGGTCAACAGTGGTGATGGCTCTAGGCAGTGTGAACGTGCTTAATGCCTGTTAGAAATGACCAACGTGATTAGAAATGTTTTATGAAAACAACAGAAGCAACCTCACTATTAAAGGCTGTAAAGCTAGCTAAAGGGAGTTGGGCTCACAACAGCGTTCTGTTTCATTTAGAAACGTTATTCTCTTACTACCCACCTGTAAAAGTCATGGGGCCACAACATTTCCCTTATTTGATCGGTGAGAACTGGTGCTAGGATTACAGGAGCTTCTGGAACAATCATTTTGTTGAAAGGCATCTGAAGGAAAAACAAGGAGGAAAAAATGGGTGTGTTTCCTTTTTGCATAAGAATGCAAAAGAGAGCTTAACTCACCTGAAGAATTCACATAATGAGAAAATAAATTATTGATCTAGCAGGAAGACACCCAGACCATTTAAAGTGACCCATTGATTTAAAGATGAGGATTCCTGCCTAGATGTGGATCCCAGGTCCCTGACCCTAGGTGACTGGGACCGTCCCTGTGGGTGCTGTCCTCCTTGCAAATGCAGCAGAGTGATTTACTACATAAAGTAGATTCAGCATTCTTTTTAAAAACTTTTTGTTTTTCATGATACAGTTCCCCTGCTACCCTCCCCCATTTTCCTCCCACCCACTAGTCTCCCTATATTGTTATAGTATAGTCTGTCAGCAACAGTCACCTGCCCATCATCCTGCTATTCAAGTGTATCCTGACATTGTAGGCATAGACAGTGGCAGAAGGTCCAGCATCCTATTGTCTCTGAAATAAATCAATCCCCAACGGACAAGTACATGTTCTCTTTGATATAAGGCAAGCTTCATGCAAAATACAAGATCAATAAGTATACAGATACTTGATTTTAGTGATAGTAGATATGTCGATAAGCATGTATATACATATATTCATCCAGAGGAACTGTATAATGGAGACTAGCACACCAAGAAGTGGAGATATATTGTAGCGTGCATCTCTACTCCTGAATAGATTGAGCAATCTTAACCTGAAATGCTTTAAGTTTTGTGAGCATCCACATGATACCACAAGTAGAAAAAAAACTACATCAGAAAAGTGTTGTTTATAACCAGTATTGACATAATAGGGTCCAAAATACCTTCAGGCTACATGTATAAAGTAATATGAAACAAACCAACTTCTTGTTGAAATGTGGGTCCTGTTCCCCCAGATATCTCATTCTGTAGGTGCAAATATTCCAAAAGCTGAAGTATTTCTGATCCCAAGCATTTCAGATAAGATGTCTTCAACCTAGAGGAAGTTTCTCAACCCAGCAGTTTCCTGGATCCAACATGGGAAGGGAAAGTGTAGAGTGCTGAGTGAGACTGCAGACAAGTGGTACATGGCTTCCTTCCTCCTCCAGAAAGCCACCCGAGAAAGGCCTCCTAGGAAGTCAGAGTGAAGAAGCCTGTGAGTGAGGGGCATGCTAGGCATCAGAGCATGGACATCAGAGGAACTTGAACCCAGACTGCCACCTTCTTCAGAGACTGCTGGGCCCTGGCAGTGCCCAGCTTCCCTCACGAGGTCAACCAGGTCAAGCTTTTGCAATGCCAAGGCCAGATCCATGTTGGGTGGTGACCAGAAGCCGGACAGCTCTGCAGGGAAATGGCAAAAACAACCCATCCCTTCTGTAACCTGGCCAAACCAAGGGGGCTTCTGCCCTAGACACCCCACTCTGATGTGTCCAGGTTTGGGTGGATGCAAGGGCTCTCTCGAGGGCTGGACTGCTCTTTTCCAGGCAAACGAAGCAGACGCCGTGACGCTGGATGCGGGACTGGTGTTTGAGGCCGGCCTCACTCCCAACAATCTGAAACCTGTAGTGGCAGAGTTCTATGGATCACAAGAGAGTAAGTTCTCCCTGGGTAGATGCTGTTAGTGCCTACAGGCAGACATGGGAGATCAGATGCAAGCCCACATTTCTCTTTGGAGGGGTGAGTGGTGGGCAAGAGGCCCTGTCAGCTGCCAGCTTGGGGCTGGTTATTTAACCAGCTGGGCTCCTGGTACATTGCCTCTCTGAACCAAGACTGTGCTCACTGGAAAGACAGAGCAGGCTGTGGAAAGTTTGAAGGTCACCAGGGTCTAGCAATGTGTACAAGTGCCAGGCACAGTGGGGTGGGGGAGATGAATCTAACTGGCCCTAGAAGAACTTTGAAGGCCTATGGGCCGTGCTGCTACAGCTTCTGTTGGTAGTGGGTTTGGGTTACTGATCTGGATGGCTATACTGCAGGACTAGGTTGGGCCAACCTTGTGGGGCACCTGTGTGTGCCTGCAGGGTCATTATGGTTGCACGTTCCATGGTCCTCTTTCCCTTAGAAACTTAGAACGGCTTCTCTGACTCTTACCATGCAACCTAACCCAACCCAAGTGGCCTAGGGTTTCCCTTCCGCCCCTTGCGTGTGGGGAGTGATGCACAGTATCATCCATGCAGGACTGAGGTCTTTGTTTACCCTGTCCCTCTGCAGATCCACAGACCTTCTACTATGCCGTGGCTGTGGTCAAGAAGGGCAGTGGCTTCCAGCTGAACGAGCTCCGAGGCAAGAAGTCCTGCCACACAGGCCTTGGCAGATCTGCTGGGTGGAACATCCCTATAGGCTTACTGTATTGTAATCTGCCGGAGCCTCGCAAGCCTCTAGAGAAAGGTAAGTAGGCTGGGGTGGGATGCTCCTGGGCAGGCAGCCCTGCTTTAGGTGCCCACACCTAGAGGCCATGTTAGAACCACACTGTTCGCATCAGCTGGACCTGTGGGGAGAATTCCCGGATGGGTCAGGGAGGTTAGCCAGCTTGGGAGGTGGCAGTTGGGCCCTTTGTGTCCTGAGCTTCCAGAAGCTTCCCTGGTATGTGGAGAGCCGGCCATCAGGCCTGGAGGAGGGTTTCAGTCTGCACCTCAGTGTCTAAGTCCACATATCTTCACTGGCGTTCTTTTTGTGTATATGTGTGTCCTGTGCCATTGGAAGTGGTTCTAGTGGCCAGCCTGCATCTCTCCACATTTTCTTCCCATTGCTGTTGTGCAGGACCCAGGTGGTCCCTTGTGAAGGCCCAGGGTAAGCCTTGATGGGCAAGAAGCCCAGCTGTGTTGCCTTGGTTGGGTGTTGGCAGGACAAGGGTTAGCTTGCTCGTTTGCAAAATCAGCAGAAGGAAGGGTGAGCTAGGACTGGGCTTTAGTCCTTAGGCTGGGAGATCTCATTGCCCACGGTCAGGCTCACTCACGCCCTGTGGTTCTTTTCTCTGTGTCGAGCAGCAGTGGCCAATTTCTTCTCGGGCAGCTGTGTCCCCTGTGCGGACAGTAGCCACTTCCCCCAGCTGTGTCAGCTGTGTCCCGGGTGTGGCTGCTCTTCCTCCCAACCGTACTACGGCTACTCCGGCGCCTTTAAGTAAGTAGCGTCTGCAGCTCCCTAGTGGCCAAAGTGTCCAATGACCTCAGGGTGAGATTTCAGTATTGGGCCAGTACAGAGCCTGGTCTGCCACTGAGACTAATCCGAGGCTTTGTCCACTTCTAGGTCTTTAGCCTGACACTACTGAGGCCAGGCCATCCCATGGTCCCCTTCCTCTGACCCTAACAAGCAGATTCCTGCTGCCTCCCACTCCCCCATCCACATAGTTCCTGTGGCAAATTTCCTACTGCCTCTTTCTAACTCGGATAAACCTTGAATTGTCTAGCCAGATAGGGGTCACCACTCCATAATTATCTACTGCAGGAGCCTACGGACTCTTCTATACATGGAAATTGCTTCTTACTGCTTTGGGGTACAAAGCAAGGAGATCCTGTGTGACCTCTGTGCTCCCAACCCTCCCATCTTGGTGGTCTCCTGATGTCAGTCTCATGCAGGCTCCCTTGTGGGACCCACCTAGAAGTCTTCCCCCACACTGCCAAAGTCCCAGACAGTGTGACAGGACGGTGTCTAGGCCTGGCCTGTGGGAACCTTCCTAAAATGTGCTTTTTGCACAGGTGTCTAAAAGATGGTGTTGGAGATGTGGCCTTTGTTAAACAAGAGACCATATTTGGTAAGTGGCACAGAACTCAGTAGGTCCCTTGTAGATCATGAGCATTCTTTTCTCCTTCCCCTTTTTTCATGCTGGACATTAAGACAGGCACACACAAACCCTTGTCACGGCTGGTCTACCCATGCACAAGTTGATTACGGAGGTCGGTGGGGGGGTGGAGGGAGGTCCTGGCCTGGATTCTTGGGCCTCTTTCCATCATCTGACCTGTCCTTGCAATGGCTCTGTCTCTGTAACAGCCTGGCCTCAGCAAGCTGGGAGGGGCTAATCTGGCTGACCTTGGCCTGCTGAGCTCAGACTCCTTGGCTACAGCATGGGTAGCCTTGGCTGCTCTGGGCATCAGCAGCCTTGGTGCTCTGAGCAAGTCTTTGTCCTGCGTTTTCCCTGGTGCTCGGTGAACATGCTGAGCCTCTCCACTCAAACTTCCCATGGTCAGTGGAATTCCCAGTGTGAGGAGGCATTACCATGGTTCCTAGCCATGTCTGCTGTCAACTCATCCAGCCTTTTCCTCCCCCAGAGAACCTGCCCGACAAGGCTGACAGGGACCAGTATGAACTGCTGTGCCTAGACAACACCCGCAAGCCAGTGGACGAGTATGAGCAGTGCCACTTGGCTCGCGTCCCTTCACATGCCGTCGTGGCCCGCAGCGTGGATGGCAAGGAGGACCTCATCTGGGAGCTTCTCAACCAGGCCCAGGTATTCCCATTTGCTGCTGCTCAGGTCTAGGGACTCTTACCCTTGCCTTCTTGCCACTGTAGAAGTCCCATGTATTCAAGGCACACGTGGAACTGTGCTGTACATCATCAGTTTCTTTTTTTTTTTTTTAAGAGAAAAAGAGACAGAGACAGAGAGAGACAGAGAGAGAGACCTTCCGTCCTTTGGTTCAATCCCCAAATGGTCACAATAGCCAGAGCTAGGTGGATCCAAACCCAGGAGCCAGGAACTTCTTTGAGGTATCTCAAGTTGGTGCAGGGGCCCAAGGACTTAGGCCATTCTCTGCTAGGACCCAGGTCATGATCAGGGAGTTGGAGCAGGTAGGACGTGAACTGGTATGCATATGGGATGTCAGAACCACACTCCATCAATTTCTATGAATCCTCCCAGCTGGTACCCTGCACAGAGCAGCAGGGATTGGCTCTGCTACTACCTTCACCTCCTTGGCAATGGTAGTGCAAGAGGTTCCACACTGCTGTCTTCCATTTCTTGCCATTTGAGCCTGCCCTTCAAGACCCAGGACCAACAGCCCTTTCCGGGGAACCTTTTTGTCTGTCCCTTCTCTTCCAAAGAAAATCACCAAGTCTGTTACCCAGCTCTGTTCCTTCGAGGTAGTGGGATGCCAGGCTGAGCCAGCACACTCTCACCCAGCCCTCCCACCTATGTGTCAAGAGATTAAGTAGTAACCGCACACTGTAGCCTCAGGATTAGTGCTTTTCTTGTTCTGTGCTCTCTCAATCCACCCAGGGAGAAGTCTGTTCAGGAAGAGAGGGTGTGGCCTGTCTCTAAGAGTTCTGGGCGCTGAAAAGGTCCAGGGTGGTTAGCAGCACACCTGCCTGCCTGCCTGCCCTTTGGTGTCTCAAGGTTTTCCATTCATCCTTGTGGCTCTTCACCCTCTCGTTATACTCTGAACAGGAACATTTCGGCAAAGATAAATCAAAAGACTTCCAACTGTTCAGCTCTCCCCATGGGAAGAACCTGTTGTTTAAGGACTCGGCCCAAGGCTTTTTGAAAGTTCCCCCCAGGATGGACTCCAACCTGTACCTGGGCTATGAGTACGTCACGGCTGTCCGTAACCTCCGGGATGGCATATGTAAGTGTCGGGGAAGGAGTCTGGACTCAGGGCTTGGGAGGGCGAGGACCAGTGACGCAGTCTTTCCAGGGGCCTTTAGTAACGCTGCTTTTTCTACCTGGTGAACCCTGTTAAGCTGAGATGGAGCAGATGTCAGTTGTGGCTTTAAAGAAAATTCATTTTAAATACCTTAGCTAGGTGTTAGCTTTATTTCCATTGTGTAAGGCCCAGGTAACCTTACCCACTGTGTGCAACCAATTAGCCTGGCACTAAGTCAAATAAAAAGAAGTTTCTGCGAATGGCACAAGGCCAGGCAACATGAGAGTCCATCAGAGCTGGAACTCCAGAGCTGTCCATATGAGCCTGGACTCCACTGAGTCATGGGCATTTTGCTTAATCATGCATTCATTCAATAGATGTCTAGTTGAACCTCTAGTCATGAACTTGGCTAGATGCTGGACATATTCAGATATTGGATTGTTCTGTCGCAGAACTCTCAACTCTGGGGAAAAGATACTGTTGAATGAATAGCCACATCATTGAATGATTCATTCCCTACTGAGTCACCCGTTTAGAAAACAAACAAACAAAACACCATGGGGCTCCACATCATGGAGAATATATTACCGAAAAAAAAAAAAAAAGGCCCTTGAGTGGAGATTGAGGTCAGACCTCTGAGCAAGTAGCTCTCGGCCAAATGTGAAAGATGAGCAGGTGCCCACTTACTCATCAGACAGGTGTTACACTGATCATGTGTTGGTCCTGCTCCAAACACTAAGGGTGTCCCCTGTGAACAAGACCCACCTGGCCCTGTCTGTGTAGGAGTAGATGCTCATAGGTAATTATGCCGAAGAAATAATAATGAACATTCAAATGAGAGTGCAGCAAGTGATCCAGTGCCATCTGAAAAAGGCCGGGGGGAGAAGCTAGCCACAAGTCCTAGAGCACTCCAAGGCTGGAGCTTGACTTCTCAGAAGAAAAGAAAAAGCCAAACTAAGAAGGCAACCAAAAGACACAGTACTGACTGCTTTCTAAGATGATTCAATTTTCAAAGGGAATCTCTGTTTATCAGCTGGTAGATGTCATAATGTGAGTGAAGACAGTGAGGAGCTGGGACCTTCCTTCTGACCTCTGGTTCTTTGTTCCGATGCCATAGGCCCAGACTCCTCACAGAATGAATGTAAGACCATCAAGTGGTGTGCCCTGGGCCACCATGAGAGGCGCAAGTGTGATGAGTGGAGCGTGAACAGCGGAGGAAAAATAGAATGTGAATCCGCGGAGACCACCGAAGACTGCATTGCCAAGATCATGGTACGTCACATTTGCCCACCCCACACGATGTCTTTGCCGTTACCTGCTGGTCCATTTCTAGGACAGAGCTAATGTGTGTGTTGGGGGGAGAGGTGGGAGTCCCAGGGACCAGCTCCAAGGAAGGGTGAGAGTTCCTGGGTCTGGAGGATGGCTTTAGGGTTCTTTCCTCTTCCTGTGAGCCTCTGGTGAGAAGGCCAGCTGAGCAGTGTTTCTTTTAGGGAAACTGAACCCCTACGCAGGACCCTGTGTTAAATTTACAAGCAGGTACAAATGTACTTTGCTGTTCCCAAGAGTAGCCCATGTTTGTCTCAAGGGAATTTTGAAAACCCTGAATGATTTAAAGAAAATATTGTTACAATCATACAGCAGAGAAAACGCTCTTATTGGGACCAACCTATATGGTTGCCCACTGCATTTTTCTCATTTCCTGATTTCTTGTGAGCTTTTATCATATCAAAAATTATTCTTTCAAAAGCTGATTTGGAGCTTGAACGTTGTACACCTCAAGGTGCTAGAAGGTAGCATCACTAGAGCAGGTATTAACCTCTAAGCTCCAGGCCTCCAGCTGCACCCATTCCTTGCTCTGTGCGTCACCTCCACCTGGTACTTCTTTGGTTGACTCCTTTAGAATAAGCCAGTAAATGTAGTAAAATGAAGGCACATCTCTTGAAGGCACTTGTACCTCCTGCCATCGTCTGCCCTCTGACTCCTGCTGAAGTGTGTTTGTTTTACTTTCTGAGCACTTGTGGATAACCACGTAGCTGCTAAACCATCTTCCAGGGGTGAAAATAGACCAGCAACCTCATTTTTTGTGTCTTTGATGTGTCCAATAATTAATATCACCTTAGACTTGGAATATTCATTCATTTTTGCCTGAACTAAGACAGGAAAAATTGAGCAAAATTATAGCAAAGGCTTCAGATTAAAAACCCAAGTCTGTATACATGTTTGTTAGCAGTTTGGATGGTTTGGCTTCAGTACTGAACACGGGATGTGGCACATTAAAATGTCCATGTATGCAAGCATCAAACTCACAAATGTAAAGGCAAGAGACCCTCGGAAGTACTGGAAGCTTGGCTGAGGAAGAAAAAGTAAAAGCAAGTGGAAGCAACTTTTTGCAGGTGTTCTTTGACACTCTAATTTTCTTTCCTGTTCAAAACCTTGGATTTTGGGAATGGCTTACAGATGTTGGGTCAGAAACCAAAGACCCACACTGTCATGTTCTGTGAGATCAGGATCAAATGCCTAGTTGAGGAACAGTTGTATTTCTTATGCATAATGTTGAGCTTGTTATGCTATTCTGGAAGGTCAAGCCATTGTTCATTGACTGAATTAATTAGAAGTGACCCCACATTGTTTGCTAGTAAGGAACCCTGGGAAACAAAGTTGGGGAGCTTAGTTAATTTGGTCCCAACCCAGGGACCCAGCAGCAGCAGCAGCAGCAGCAATGGGAAGCCACTGGCCTGTCCAAGTTCCCCAGAGGAGTTCCAGGTACTCCTTCGGTTGCAGTGAAAGCATAGGGGAATGTGGGAAGTGGAGCTCAGAGCCAGACAGGGTCCTTAGATCCTGCAGTGAGAATGTGCATTAGTGGATGTACACGTCTTCCACAGGAGTTCTGGATCATTTGTGGTAATATGACTAATGATGTAACTGGGAGGTGGAAGGATTCCAAGACTGCCAGGAGGAGCTGTCTACACTGGGTGCTTACCTTTGGAAAATGTTCTAGAATTGAATGCTGGACTCGCCTTTCTCTCGGGGATGCCTCATTGCAGCTCTTCATGACAGACTTGGTTGGATCAGTCCTGACACAAAAGCAAAACAAAGACAAAAACAAATGTGGTCAACGCTTCATCCAAGTTGAGACCAACACTGTTCTGAGAATCATTTCCCAGATCTGTGTAAATGGCATGAATGAAGCACATGAGATTAGCATGGGAAAACCAACAGCACAGGATGGAGGGTTAGCCCCCTGCACCGCCGTGCCAGCCCCAGGACACAGCCTGTTTTCATCAACTGTGATTGTGTCTTTGCCTGCAGAATGGAGAAGCTGACGCCATGACCCTGGATGGAGGATTTGTCTACATCGCAGGCCAGTGTGGTCTGGTTCCTGTCCTGGCAGAGAACTATGGTAAAGGAGGGACAGTGGGAGCAGGCACTTCTCTGTATTGCTTCCTTATGAGCCATGGAGAACAGAGATGCAGAAGTCACAGCCTGGGCCCTGCCACGAAGTCCATAGCTTTCCTGCTTCCCAGGCTCTGGGCTCCCTCGCCCAGCAGCCCCACAGTCATCTTAGCGGACCAGACCTGCCACTCTTCTAGTGGTGGGGGATGGGGCTCTGCGCTGTGGAGTTCATGAGAGTACCTCAACTGCGGGGGACAGCCAGGCTTCCGGGCAGTTTCCAGACGTGCTTCTCGCCATGCACTGTTGAAGGGGTTTCAATAGAGCTGGCCAGTACTGCCCTGTGCTTCCGGTTTGAAGTACACCTGCCGGCATGTTGAGAATTTGGAGGCGACTGTAATTCCAGCTGACTCTATTTGTCCCTAGTTGAAGTGTGAGAAAGGCATTACCTTTCTAATCTATAAATAACTGTTTAATGTTGTCTGCATTTTCCCTTTTTTTTTTCTTTCTTTCAGAAAGCTCCGATTGTAAGAGCCCACCGGAGGAAGGTGAGTCAGGAGCTAAGAGAACAATTCCCATTGTTGGGGGAAGTGGTTTGGCAAGTTTAACATTCAGATTACAAGGCCCTGGAAGAGACCAATGTTTAGAATATACCAGAATGACAGAAAGATCATAGTTGATATGAAGATAGAACTTCCTCCACACTTGCCACCACATATAATTGTCCCTTGTGGCATCCTCTAAGGTGGTATACAGTGAACCCCAGGGCTTAGGGAATACGTTCATGGTCCAAGATTCCATGCATCCAGATGTAACCCTGGACCCTCCTCACTGATGGGGTGCCTTGCCCTTCACCTGCAACAGTTCACAAAGGGATTTGCTTAAGACACCATGGCCAATGCAGGATCTCTCTGCTTCCCTGGGGAGGCAGCAGCTTTAACCGGGGGCAGCCACTCTGGAGGCCCCAGAGATGTTCACGCTTCATGTGTGATGTCTTCTGGCAGGATATCTCTCTGTGGCGGTGGTGAAGAAATCAAATCCTGGCATCAACTGGAACAATCTGGAAGGGAAGAAGTCCTGCCACACTGCTGTGGACAGAACGGCTGGCTGGAACATCCCCATGGGCCTCCTGTACAACAGGATCAACCACTGCAAATTTGGTGAGCGAATCTTGAGGCACGTGGTGCAAGATGCTGTGAGCTGTGGTTCTGTGCATACAAACCTCAGTTCAAGTGAAACTCAAGCAGATTGTAACAGAGATGAGCAGGGCTGGAAGCGAGTTGTTCAGAGTGGCTCTTCTTGATAGCATGCGACAACTTCAGTGACTACATAGTTCTTTTGCTTCCTGATGACAAAGAGCAGAGGGGACGAGCCCAGGCCGGCTGCAGTCATGGGAAATCAGGCTTCGTCCCTTTTTCTGCTCCATCCTTTTTGGCATGATGCTTCCCTCCACAAGATCACCCCCTGGCTGCCATTGCATCCATGATCCAGGGAACCCCAGTCAGCAAGGAGTGCCTGGATTTCAGGTGCCTCATCACTACACCTAGCCGTAATAGCGGAGTCTGCTCTTTCATTTGGGCTCGTTCTCACCCAACTAAAATCAGATGTCTGTGATCAAGGACCACAGGAAAATGGATATGGGATGGACAGCCACCCCTGCCAGAGGACTTGTGTTCATGGTCTGTGTGGTTGTTCATTCTTATCGGAGTCTCGCCAAGTGCTGCCCTTCTCAGGATCTCTTCATAGGATAGAAATCCATTTATTCCCTGAGTCCCCTGAAAATCATCAAGAGCGTACTTCTAGCCCTTGACTTCTTTTTTTTTTTAAGATTTATTATTATTATTATTATTTTTTTATTGGAAAGGCGGATATACAGAGAGAGACAGAGAGGAAGATCTTCCGTCTGATGGTTCACTCCCCAAGTGAGCACAACGGGGTCGATACTATGCCAATCCGAAGCCAGGAGCCTCTTCCGGGTCTCCCACGCGGGTGCAGGGTCCCAAAGCTTTGGGCCGTCCTCGACTGCTTTCCCGGGCCACAGGCAGGGAGCTGGAAGGGAAGCGGGGCTGCCGGGATTAGAACCGGCGCCCATATGGGATCCTGGGGCGTGCAAGGCGAGGACCTTTAACCACTTGTGCCACCGCGCCGGGCCCATAGCCCTTGACTTCTAACATACTCCAAAGGCAAATGTTTCCCACTAGTTGTGATTCACATTCACATCCTGAGTGCTTCCTGCTTGTCGCCTCCAAATTCAGGAAGCTCAAAAAAAAAAAAAAAAAAAAAAAAAAAGAGGGGGGACTAAATCTGGTAACAGACCCAGCAATTCTCATGCAAATGCAAGTGGAAGCACCCCAGGTGCTTTGTGACACCAGTCTGACTTAGGCAAAGTGCAGCTGGGGAGGCCTCCAGAAAGATGAAGATGCCAGTGGCAATGGTTACACTGCTGCACGGCAGAACCTCCTGGCTCCTTCACAGTCCTGAGCGCGGCCTGGGGCTCCCTCGTCCTTCCGTGAGCTAGGAGATATGATAAAGGCAAGGGTGTGGCCTCTGGAAACAGATGGATCAGCTCATGCAGGGAGACTCCTCTGTCACTTTTTGTCTCTGCATTTTCTTCTTTCAGTGAGTGATAATACCTTCATGGGGCTCAAAGGAATCCCTTCCTCCCTGAATCGCAATGGCCACTCACCCCTTGTCACAGCTTCTATAAGTTTCCTTTTCACAGCCTGCAGCCTGACAGGTGCTGAGGTGAGGGTGGGACATTACAGAATGAAAAGAACAGACTGCTTCCTCCCCGGAGCCATGCGAGTCGTTTGTGTGCCGTGTCCAAGACACTGTGTTGGTGCAGGAAGAGCTGACTCCCCCTTCTCCTTTTATGCAGATGAGTTTTTCAGTCAAGGCTGTGCACCTGGCTCTTTGAAAAATTCCAGTCTCTGTGAGCTGTGTATTGGCCCAAATAAGTGTGTCCCCAACAACCGAGAGGGATATTATGGCTACACCGGGGCTTTCAGGTGAGTGTTTCAACCCTGACCCTGACAGATGGCTCTCCCAGCCATGCCCAAGTCCTTCCGGGGGCTGAGAGGATGTCGGCATGCACTGAGTCCATGAGTGTTGCATGCATACATGAGGACGGGAGATTTGACAACCAGATGTGGAAGCTCCTATGTATGAAGGGGCATCCAGGCTGCTCCCAGGCCCTGGCCACCAGATGTGGCTGTTCCAGGCTGAACAGACTGATGGCTGGCCAGTTGTCATGTTCACATGTGGGGCCTGCTTGCTCCCTCTGGGGGACATCTGGCAATGTCTAGAGATGTTTTAGATTGTGACAGTTGGGGGTAAGGGACATGGCCTACTACTGAGTGAAATGGTATAATATCTTACTATGCATAGGGGAGACAGCATGGTACACCCAAGAGCCATCCAGCCCCAAAGGTACCGCACAACAAAGCAATGAAACACTGGTGGAGATGAGTCAACCCAGAGGCAGGAGTTTGGCTCTGGCTCCTCTGGATACCAATGGGCAACACACAACTAGCTGCATCTGGAGCCAGAGAACAGTAGAGGGCAGGGTTTCCAAATTCCTAACCTTAATGGAGAGGGTCTCTCACAAGGCTGTAGATCTTTTCACCTTGAGAGTCCGCAGGAATTGAGTTTTTATTCACATTTCATATACACTGGGAGAGGAATGCCCTCTCTGGTAAATTGGTATCTGGCATCCATGCTGATATTAGGAAAATGATAGGATCATAGAAGCTGTACCGAATCGTGCTGTATTGGGCAGATTGTGTGAAGCTTGCTTTCTCTTTCTTCCCCGCACTGCTTAGTGATAGGACAGAAGTTATAACGCGAATATCAGGTGGCCCCTCAGTGACAGATTGTGGCACTCTGACCTCCTCTCTCTGTCTCATGCTGGGTCTCTGCAGGTGTCTGGTGGAGAAGGGCGATGTGGCTTTTGTCAAGTCCCAGACTGTGCTGGAGAACACCGATGGTATGTGCGCACGCTGCCCTGTGCCCGTAGCACCTGTCTTAGGAGGACGTGCTGGTATTCACAGTGCTTCCATGGAAGTGTTACAGTGTCAGCCTCCAGGGCTCTCTCATTCTGACCGATCCATTCAGGATGATCAGAGTCATGGAGTTTCCAGCGGCTCTGAATTCTTTCCCACAAGCCACCTCCACAGTTGCAGTCCTGCTTCTGATTTCCCCTAAACATCTCAAGACCTATTTCCCCAAAACAAGGCATTTTTTTCTGTATCTCTGGTACAACGACTTGGGCCAGGAAATTTCACATTCTGCTGATTTGCCATGCATCACCTCCATGAGCCATCAGTTCAGTGATGTCCTCTGTCACCATCTCCTTTATTTCCTGGCTCTGTGCATTGAAAGGCACCAGAGGAAATGGCACACAAATAAGCTTGAGCACCCAAATATTGGCTACTAAATATTGCTTCCTATTAAAAGAAACCAGAACTCTACAAGCCCAAGAAATAGCGGACTGCAATATTGGGCAGGAAAACTGTATGGTGAGCCCAAAGTATCACAAAGAAGGGCTCAAACAGTATAAGATGTGTCAGGTCAAATAGGAGTCAGTTTGAAGGAACTCCCATTGCCAACCACAAGGATTGTGAACAATGAAATTGCAATGGCAGTCCAGAATTGACTAGAATAAGACTAGAGTTGATTAGACTACAAATCTACCAGGTGATACTGATTAGATAAATGAAAACAAAGCTCTTAATCTTACCATAGAATGCTAAGTAATGAATGTAGAGGATTGATCACATTGGAAAACAATTGTTTGGCAACCAATATACTGATGATTAATTCAGACACTGGCTCATCAATGAGTGTTGACTTCTGGGTAAAAAGTTGGATGGCTATGACATTAAATCAATCCATCCATCAATAAACTTTGGTAAGAATGAGCATTCTACTCCACCCCTGACCTCCCCATATCACCAAGTGAGTCCAGACTGTTAGCTACCTCTCTGCCTTTGGTAGTGTCCGTTCAGCCATCACCATCACCTTCGCACATTTTCTGAACAATGGGCATGTTTTCGCTTAGGGCTAGTAGGAGGGACTTGGACCTAAAATCCTGGTGCAGATTTCAAAAGGGTCTCCCCAGAGGCAAAGCTCTCTGCTTTGGAGATGCCTGGTTACAGCTTACAGTGCTGTCAGTCTGGGTTAGAGGACTGTGTCCTGCATGTACTGGAGCAAGAAGAGCCACAGGCTTTAGCCTTTGGTAGAAATGAAAATTCTGTTGAGTTGCTTCCGTTGAATGTTGTCTCACCCGGCTGGGTCAGGAAGAGTGGAGGCAATCACTGGTAGTTGCTGTGCAGACCACACAGCTGTCACACATCAACACAATCCCAGTGTGGCCACCTCTGCTTGTCAGAGGCCTCAGGACTGCTGAGTGGCACATCCCGGCAAGGTCGCCTTGGCCCAGACCATTGACTGTGCTGATCTGCCTTCTCTCCCTCTCCCCAGGCAAGAACCCTGACTCATGGGCAAAGGATCTGAAAGCAGAAGACTTTGAGTTGCTGTGCCTTGACGGTAGCAGGGAGCCTGTCAGCAAGGCTGCCAGCTGCCATCTTGCCCGATCCCCCAACCATGCCGTGGTCTCCAGGCATGAGAGGGCAGGTTGCGTCAAGCAGATACTGCAAGACCTGCAGGTGTGGCTTGCTGGCTCTCCCACTCTTTCTTCCTAGACGGCTGTAGATCACTTGTGGGGGATGACAGCTAACACCAGTTTCAACATTCTCTACCTGGAAACCAGAAAGGGGTTAGCTGTGGGTGATGGATCAGCGTATCTGGGCTCAAAGCTCAATTCGGTTACTTCCTGGCTGTGCTATTCTGGGTCTAGGATGTCACTTCTCTGTGCCTTACTGTCTTCTTCTGTATATTGGAATAACACCTTTATCATCTTCTGAGTTACAATGCAGATGGGTGAAGTTGCCCACTCAAAGAAACAGGAGAATGCCTGATCCACAGGAAGTGCTCAAGAGTTGTGTCACTATACAAGTGGTATTCTAGGGTGGGCTCTTCTTGGGGACAAGAGCCAAGTTCTTGTCCAATCCACATGCTCTCTGGACAATAGGCCTTCTCACTCCCACTGGCTGTGTTCAGGGACACCCCATCTCTCCACTGTTTTCTGAACATGAGGAAGATGAATTCTGTTTCCCAGTACCCCTTGATACTACAAGTCGTGAACAAGGTGTTTCTGGTTCTTTAACCTAAGCAGACTGGGCATCATTTCAGCTGTCTGCAAATCACAGGATTCCAACCGTCAGCTAGGACTCAGTGTTAGCCTCAGGAGGCAGGGATTGAGGGGTGTGGAGAGGCCTCCAGGATATTCCTAACTTAGAAACATCCCCACCACCATACACATTCAGCACCTTTCTTTCAGAAATAGCTTCATTCCCATCGATGCATCTTTTTCTTATTAAGATAGCATGCCTTCAGAGGTCCTTCTTAGGCACATGATGAACAGTTCACAAACATTCCCTACATACCATATGGTTTGTTAAACTTTCTTGAAATGTGTTCAAGAGGCAGAAGACACAAAAGGAGAAGGAAGAAAGACAGAGGTCTCTGCTGCTGGCGCTCTCTCCGAAGGCCTGCAACAGCTGGAGCTGGATCTCAATCTGGGACTCCCATATGGGTAGCAGAGACCCGACTACTTGAGCCATTACCCGCCTTCTCCCCAGCTGTGCTTTAGCAGAAAGCTGAAGTCAGCAGCAGAACCAGGAGTGGAGCTGGGACGCAAACCCAGGCATCCCAAGCAGCACCTCATGCTGGGCCGCATGCCTGCCCTGCAATGCTAAACTTCTGGCAGCCATCACGTTGCTCGCAACCTTAGGAGGAGTCAGATGGCTTGCTCAATTTAGAATTGAAAATGCAGTCGAACATGAATTTTCCAAACTATCTCTTCCACTCCTCTGGGATGGCTCATATCTAGTGTTTTCTTTAACAAGAATGTTGGAAGGGTCATGTTCATATCTTCTCATTGCCTACAGACTCAAGGGACATGGGCAGTGAAGTAGGCAAGAGAGATCAGAGATGGCAGGACCAGGTTGCTGGGCTTCTCAGAGGAAGGTAGGATGAGAGAGCCTGCAGGGGACCTCGGGTCATCATGAAATTGCAGAGTGGGCTCCTGTGGGTAAGTGGCTAGTGAGGGAGGGACAAAGTTCCCAGGGCCCATTGTAGAGTGTCTCTTCCCCCCAGGGCTGGTTCTGAACTTTTCTGGCTTCCTCAGATTCTTGTGTTTCTAGCTGTTCAAGGCCACAGGTCCCGAAAGACTCTCTGTCCTTTTGGCAGGCGGAGTATGGAAGTACAGTGGCTGACTGCTCCAGCAAGTTCTGCATGTTCCACTCTGAAACCAAAGACCTCCTATTCAAGGACAACACAAAATGCCTGGTTGACCTGAGGGGCAAAGACACATATGAAAAATACCTTGGAGCAGAATATATGAAGGCTGTTAGTAACCTGAGGAAATGCTCAACTTCACGTGAGTAGGAGGACCAGCATGGGGGAATGGTAAACACAGTGAGAGCAGGGATCAAAGATCAGACTGTGGTCCTCACAATGTGGCCATATGGACAAGATGAAAGAGAGAGGGGCTGACCTAGCCTAAGCCCAGCACGTGGGACAAGCAGCCTGGATGGGAGAATACTACAGGGAATACAGGCTCAGAACACGAAGGGAGTGAACTTCCTGGATACTGAGAGATCTTCATGGAAAATCATACTACAAGAAAACTAGGCATGGCCCTCCCACATCCTTGCATCCAAACACACTTATCTTTAAATTCTACTTTTCTATGGACTTCCTGAAGTTCATATGTTTCTGAGAAAAATGAAAAGAGTTTGCACACCCATGCTCAGTGCCTCCAAATCCACATCTTAGGAAAATTGCCTTGTCCAGTATGGTAGCCATCAGAAATATGGCCACATACATGAAATGAGGTAAAACTGAGCTGAAAAGTTGTTTCTTCACTCCCGCACTGCCTCATTGTGAGTGTTCTGTAGTGTGTGTGCCCTGCGGCACAGGGCATCTCCGCAGGCTGAGGACAGGCCTCTCAGAGACCATCGTTCTAGAGTACTCTAGAGTACTGGTGACTTATGAATTCACCACAGATAGCACTCATCTGGAGTACACTTTCTAAGATCTGAAACAGACCTAAACACCTGTGAGGCCTACTTCTGCTGTGCATCACTGAATCCCTGACAGCATTTGGAAAATGTGGAAAAAGAGCATGTGGCAACTGCCAGTTGCCCTGCCCTTCTTCTGTGGCATGTGGGTGAGCCATTGATCTTATCAGAATGTAGATTTCCAGGCCCATGGACCCTGATTCTGCTAGGCTGTGCTATAGCAGGTTGTGCCTTAAAACAGCCTGACATGCAGCTGCAAGCAATGTGGTTTTTGAGGTCCACTGTGGTGTATACCAAGTTATGAGTCACCTACCCTGTGTCCCCTAGAAGGAGTGGGACAGTCTGAACTGTTCTCCCCCAACCCCTTGCACAGAATTGTGCATGTTTCAAGGGCTAGGTCAGTTTTCACCTGGTTTGCCAAGGAGAGGTCAGGGAAGGACTATTGTTCTACTCACACCTACTCAGGTGTGTGAGCCTGGGCCTGGCCCATAAGAAATGAGGTGGGAGTGATGCTCCAGGGCTGTCCCTGGGCAGGAGGTGGAGTCCAGAAGCAAGTAGAAAGGGCGGTAGAAGAATGGTGAGGTCCACTCATCAGAAAAAAGGCAGATAAGGGCCTGAGGCCTTCATACTGTAACTGTTCACTCACCCAACCACTCATAAGAACACAGGGTAGATGTTTGAAGGCTCTCCCCCTCTGCTCTGCCCCTACAGGGCTTCTGGAAGTCTGCACTTTCCACAAGCATTGAGATCCACAAGAGAGAGGAGACAGAGCTGCCACAGAGCTGGAGATGGAGCTTGGATCACCCTGGGCCTCCCCCGGGATTTTCTGGGCTGAAGTGTTTCTGCCAATTATGTCTGTATTTACAGGTCTGTGCTGTCAAGTGTATGAGCTGCAAAATAAAATCCATTACAGATTTTATATTTCAACAGTCCCTTTCTTTCCTACATATTCTCCATCGGAAGGATTTCTGGTTACTGTCGGACTAAATGCCTGCGCCCCTGAGTCCTGCCCTCTGAGTGGAGGCCTTGGCTGCCCTTTCCTCAAGGATTCACGAGTGCCCAACTGCAGCTCTGGGCACAGCACACCCGGAGATGGCTGGGTGGCTCTGCGTGGTTTTTCTAATAGATTCAAATGGCTTTGCTGGGGAAGAGGCTACAAGGAGGCTGAGGGAGTGAGTGAGGAAGACTGGTACTTCCGCGGAAAGACCACAGAAGGCTTGTCTTCCATTTGATGTTTAACGATTCCCATGATATGCAGCTGAGGTCTTGGCTCAACTCTGTTGGAGAAAGTGAAGCACTTTTTGGAGAAAGTGAAATACCTTTTGCTAAAACTAATCCTCGGGGCCTTGCTGTCACAATAGTGACCTCCTAGGGGCCTCTTCCCAGCCCGGCTTCCTGCCAGGAGAGCCTCAGCCCTCCACATTTCATTTATTGGTAGCAGCAGAACATACACAGGAGTCAGTCTTCCATTCACTGTCTTGTGTAAAGCCACTGGCAAAGCACCACTCAACTGCCAACTGTTAAACCAGTGTGGCTCCTTCGCTTTCCCCACTCGACACAGTGAACCACTCTTTCCTGGAATTCTCTGCTCTGATTCCTACGCATCTCTACTCATTTGGGATCTTTACTGCTGCTTGCACACCAAGACACAAAGATGTCCAGATAACTCTCCAAAGGTCAATCTGATCTGAGACCGCCTTATAAGGACTGAGGAGATAATAGCCCTCTTGGTCCCTTAAAAGTTTCTTAAATTACTTTTTTCCCCTAAGTATCCTCAGGGACAAATCCTATAGTAAAAACCTGCTGGATTTTGAAGTTCTGGGAGGATCATGGCCATTTTGAGTGTGTCAGGTGCCAAGGAAGCAACAGTGCCTGGTACCAGCACTGGCTTCCTTCTGTCCACCGATTCAAGCCAGAAGAACCACAATGAACCTTCATAGTAGCAGGCAGCCTGGAGTGGATGCTCAGGGCGGACATCTGACCTGGCCTTAAATCCCGCCCCCTCTGTCTTGGGAAGAGAAGGCATCCTTTATGCACTTGCAGCTGCTCCGTCAGTCCCATGGATGGTTCAGGGGCTCCAGGTGTGTGGGCTGAGATCCAGGAATTTGACACACAGGGACACCTGCATCCCACATGGGCACTGGTTGGAGTCTGGGCTGCTCCACTTCCAATTTAGCTCCCTGCTAGTGCACCTGGGAAAGCAGTGGAGGTTGTCCCAAGGACTTGGGTCACTGCCACCAAGTGGAAGACCTGGTTGGAGTTGGCAGTTTCTGTCTTTGGCCTGGCCAGCAGATGGAAGCTCCCTCTCTCTGACCCTGGCTCTGCCTTTCAAATAAATAAACCCAATGTGTGTGTTAGAGGAAAATCATAACAGGTTGTTCTATTCTAATACGGAATGGTACACCCCACTCCATGAGAAGCCAGAGTTGGAAGGGACATACCCAGGCTGGGGCCGCATGTCGGCACACCTGTGAGAGCAGAGCTTGTCACAGCCATGGACACTGAGGCCTGGGGTCATTCATCTGGCAACTTCCTACTGCTTCCTGTAAGTCACACGCTGTCCTAGGCAGAGGGAACACGCCAGCACCTGCTGTCATCTCTTCCAAGACAACGTTCTGTTGCTATTGATTCCTTTTATCCATCTTGCCTTCTTATAGACATTTCAGTACAAAGAAATGCTTGAAATAATGTTCATCAGAAATGATGCACAGAAAAATGATGGTGACTTATCTTTGTATCTCTCATTACTGCTTGGGTCGTTAATACAGAGCCTGCCAGTTGGGACCCTTCTGGCTGGCAGAAGTGCTTTATTTGGAAGAAATAAAACATTTATGCCACATTTCAGTTACCTGCCTTCCCGAACCCCCCTCCTCCCCAATGGAATTTTTTAATTTAAAAAATAAAACGTCTGCGGTCACGACTTCTCTTGAAAACCCTGCAAGACCCGGAAGCCCACGTCCGGCGGGGTCTGCGTCGTGGACACTCCCCCGCACCGAGTCCCCTCGGACCGCCCGTCTTCCCGTTGTCTGCTTCAGGGCAGACACTAGGCGGGTATGCAGCCCTGCGCGGGCAATGCGGGGACACACGGACACTGGTTTCGGCACCTGTTCCACCACAGCCTGGACCCATTTTCTCCTGTTCCCCTTCACGAGGCCCCAAAAGGTGCGGTGCGGCCCCTGCCGGTTCCCGGAATGCTTCATTTCCTCACAAACCTCACCTCACCGTAGGGTCCGGCTGGAAATCCTCGGTGAACATTCCAGGGGCCATGCGCTGGATTCATTTCCCCCATTTTTTCCACAGCAATCACCGACTCACAGTCTCCAACAACCCGGTGCCCCAACCGCAGCTTTTAAGGTACCGCGGGAGCGAGAGAAACCACAACTCCCGTCATGCATGTGGGGCTTCCCTAGGAACTACCACTCCCAGGAGGCTCCGCTCGCGGCGCCTGCGCAGAACCCAGAGCCACGTCACTAGTGCGGCACTGGGCGCCACGCGCGGCTTCCATCATGGCGTCTGCGGATTCCCGACGGCTCGGGGACCGGGCCGCTGTCCGGGGCACTTTCCAGCCCTACCTAGACTCTTTGCGGCAGGAGCTGCAGCAGAGGGACCCGACGCTGCTGTCAGTGGTGGTGGCGGTTCTCGCGGTGTTGCTGACGCTGGGTACACAGGCGGCCGGTGGCTGTGGCGGGTCGGGGGATTTGGGGTTGGGACGTGGGGTTCGGGAGGGCAAGGAGTCAAGCACGCCCCATCTCGAAGGGATCCCGGGGACTCGTCCGTGGGGACGCGGGGTTCTTCCTCCTCCTTCGTGGTCCGCTGCCGAGTCCTTACCCGATTTGGAGCTCCCTGTGCTTGCTGGGTTCCTGGGGAGCCCCCCCCCCAACTCCCGGCCGAGGTGTCCACCTGCTGGAGAGCCTGGGGGTGCATGGGCCCGGCACTCGGGGTTGGGTGGGGGGACCGCAGGACTACCTACCGGCACAACACATCTCCCCAGGCAAGCAGATGTCTGGCTGGAGCGCCCTGTGCCTGCTGGGGTCCTGGGGAGACTCCAACCCACATCCCGAGGTGTCCACAGGCTGGAGCGCCTGGGGGGACCCCAGGACCACGCACCGGCTGTTACAATGGTGTCTGCTGCAGCGGCAGAAGCACTTTTCCCCGGGCGAGCAGGTTTCTGGCTGGAGCGCCCTGTTGGGGCCCACCCTGACCCATGTGGCCCGCCCAGGCTGACATTGGGGGGCTCTCCCTGTCTTTCACAGTGCTCTGGAAGCTCATCCGCAGCCGAAGGAGCAGTCAGCGAGCGGTGCTGCTGGTCGGCCTCTGTGACTCCGGAAAAACCTTGCTGTTCGTCAGGGTGAGTGCTGGGGTTTCTGCCTCCCCAAAGCTTTGTCGGTACTCGTGTGGGCTCGCCCCGGTACTCCTGTGGGCTCATCTCAGTACTGCTGTGGGCTCGCCCCGGTGCTCCTGTGGGCTCACCCCGGTACTCCTGTGGGCTCATCTCAGTACTCCTGTGGGCTCGCCCCGGTACTCCTGTGGGCTCACCTCGGTACTCCTGTGGGCTCGCCCCGGTACCTCTGGGCTCGCCCCAGTACCCCTGTGGGCTCGTAGTCCGTTTGTTCAGTTGGTGCTGCTCAATTTGGCAGTTCTTCTATGCTTGGGAGCAAATGACTGTCTTAGAAAACCAACGCATTTCCAATATGGGGAGTGTTTTCATTTTTGGCCTTTGTCTTAAAGGTGCTAATTTTCTTTTTATTTTAAGAGAGGTCTTGTATCTGCTGGTTCACTCCCCAAGTGGCTGCAATGGCTGGAGCTGAGCGGATCCAAAGCCAGGAGTCTCCTCCGGGTCTCCCGCACGGGTGCATGGTCCCAAGGCTCTGGGCCATCCTCCACTGCTTTCCCAGGCCACAGGCAGGGAGCTGGATGGGAAGTGGAGCAGCCGGGACATGAACTGGCGCCCATGTGGGATGCTGTCACTTGCAGATGAAGGATTAGCCTGTTGGGCCACTGCGCCTGAAGGGTTCATGTGGCTGTTTCCTTCTTTGCTGAGGCCGCCAGGACAGCTGGACGCACGGGCCGCTGACCTGCACGCGACTCCCAGTTCCTTTCAGACATTTTTTAAAGGGCGTCTTTCTTTGGTGAAGCTGGTTTTCTTACTCGCTGTTTCTCTCTAATGCGCTAAGTAGCTTTGAGTGAGTTTTACTACGGAGAGTGGGCAGGTTGTTTCTGCTTAGTCTTTCCTTGGAGAGAGAAATGATTTCATCTCTAGTGGAATGTAAGCTCAAATCATTTTTTTGACTTTTAAAATGTTGATAAATATGGCCACTAGCCATGGTTTGAAGCTAATGTTGTGTTTTCTCCCGCCGAGGGAAGAGTGACGCTTGCAGTTAGACTTTTGGAGGGCTAACACAGTTGGTATGGTCCTTTTCGACTGTTGCAAGCACAGTTCATCCTTTTGAACTTACCCTTGGGAAAGTTAGACGAATGGTGCTTGCTGTGACGCTGACGGCCTCGTGTCTGCCCTCTTGCTTTTCGACAGTTGTTAACAGGCCATTACAGAGACACTCAGACGTCTATCACGGACAGCTCGGCCGTGTACAGAGTCAACAACAACAGGGTAAGGTGTCGGCGGGGCTGGCGTGAGGCGGTGCGGGTGCCGCTTGTGGCACGCATGCTTGGGGGTCCGTCCGTGCAGACCCCGCCCTGGGTGCGTGGGTGGTGGACGGGCTCCTGCCCGGCCTGTGCACGGTGATGGTCATCCCAGCTTGGTTCTTTGTTTTTCTATGTTGGCTAGGCGCGCTTCCAGGATGGTGAGGTCCTCCTCCCCGCCCAGCCCCCTGTCTTAAATAGGTAACGATGTGCGTGCCCTGAAAATGCAGAAAGTTGAAGAGAAAAATTGACCAAAAGTAATTTCTCCTTTCTTACAGCAGTGTCCAGTCAGTAGCTCACTTATTTCCTGGGTAGCATTCCAGTCTATGCATTTATGAGTGTGTTTGTGTATTTTTTAGTTTTTATAACTCTGCTCTGGCCAGATGTTTTTTCTTTTTTTCATATAACAGTAAGATAGATCTAGTTTGGGTTTTTTGTTTTGCACAGGTGCTGCCTGGTTGGTTCATTAGTGCCCGCTATTCCGCTGTGTGACGGATCTGAGAATTAAACTCGGGCTCGTGGACTAGTGGACGCTCCATTTTGTTTGCTGTCATAGTCTTCACTGTAACAGTTTCGCAGTGTCTGTATCAGAACGACCCAGAAAGAACTGTGCGCCTTCTCCCTTCCTTGCGTAGCTTGAGTCGATGACAGTGGGGAGGAAGCTGTGGCGAGTGTGGCCCAGGGGCTAGACAAGCATGTGAAGACTCAGACAGCATGGTGACAGGGTGCGTTATTGCCACGATTAGGAATGGCAGTGGCAGTACCATGCTCTGGTAGATGGCAGGCTCTGTAATTAAACACTGGCCCGTGGACGGTGGTGGTGTCCTCATGGTGTGGTTCCGTTCGTACTGGCCCTCCCCCACACGTCAGGCAGGCCACGCAAGCTCCGGAGTCTTGTGTTTCCTCCCAACATTTGTTGAACCGTGACTGCAATTCCACACCATGTTCCTCTTCCTCAGTGTATGTCGTGTTGGTTTGGGAATCGAGTCTGTGCTGTTAGATCCCCAGGCATTCTAACCGAAGACGCGCTCTGAACACTGGTTAGCCTCGCTCGGTGATTTCATAGCAGACTGGAACTGGATCCAGTGACTGACTGTTCTCCCTGCCGTGCCTAGGGCAGCAGCCTGACCCTGATTGACCTCCCCGGCCATGAGAGCCTGCGGCTTCAGTTCTTGGAGCGCTTTAAGACCTCCGCCAGGTGAGTGGACAGGAAGTGGAATGGGCCAACCCAAACTCTGCGATGAGGCCCGTTGCTTGCTCTGGTGCGGTTCAGGAAACAGCATGGTGTCCTGAGGCAGAGAGTGTGGCCTTTGGGGTCGGCCGCGGGGAGTGGCAAGCCCACCCCGTGTGTCTCAGCGAGGTAGTGAAGTGTCAGCTCTTGCTGTGCTGTTATAAATTCTGCATTTACTCTCATGACACGTGGGACAATTAGTCAGAAGAAAAGAATTTTAAAGCTAGGAAGGGTCCCAGAAGTTGTTAAAGTCAACATGGCTCTGAGTCTAACTGCCTAGACTCAGTGCCCCCAGAGAACAGTGTTTCAGTATTTCTCTTAGTATTTTTAATTTACAAGTTTGTCCCTAAGGTTCTTACATGTTGGTTTCACGTTTGGTCTGTAATGTGGGTGAGAACTGAGCAGGCACTCCGTTTCAAACTGTGTATGTTGGTCTTCCTGACTGTGAGCTGTGTGTCCCGCACGGCCAGGGCTGTCACGGTGTAGTTGGCACAGTGTAGTTGTCACAGCTGGCCGCGGTTTGCCTGAGACAGCCGCTGGCTGCTGGTTGATGGAGGCGACTGGCTCACTCCTGCTTGAAGGCTCTGAGTGCTTCGCCGTCCACAAGGAGGCTGCAGTGAGAGGGGAATTTTTATTCCTTGGACAGATGAGACCTAAAATTGGTAGATTTTTGCCATTCACTGTTAATTTCTAAGCAAAAATGTTTTCTTTTTCTGTTGCCAGTTCTAAATAGTCTATAATTTTAGTATAGTTACTCTGGTTAAAGTATTTTGCATAAATATGTTGAAAATATGAAGGTAAAACTAGTCAGACAGTGAGTAACAACAAGTGAGGCTGGGAAGATGGGCTGTGCCTGCGTGAGCTGTGCCGGCGTGGGCCGTGCCGGCGTGCGCCGTGCCGGCGTGGGCTGTGCCCTGTGGCCCTGCCCTCTGACTTGGGCCTCCTGAGTGTCTGCAGGTTGAGAGTGTGTCGTTTCTGTGATTTTCACGGTGCCCTTTGCCCACCTCCCACCCCCAAGGCTGACAGTGGTCCCTGGCTGGGCTGAAGCCTGGAACCAGGAACTCGGCCCTGGCCTCCAGGTGGGTGGCAGGAGTGCAGCCTCGTGCGCCGCCCCATGTCACCAGGAAGCCGGGCAGCCAAGCCAGACTTGGGCCGTGGGATGCTCTTCCTTGTTCTGGCACTCTGGGCGTGGCTCGCGGTGCTGAGCTGTCTCCTCTAGGTTGTTTCTTGGTCTCTGGGCGCAGGTACATCCTGCTGTCTTTGCAGCTGCAGTCACTGTTGCATAGGAACCCTCGAGTTCTCTATTCCAGGAGAATCTACGCTGGGTGCACATGGTGGCCGTGTGTGCTCAGGGCAGCCGCGCGGCAGGGAGTCCTGCACACGGGTTTCCAGGGTGGCAGTGCGCTGCGGCCGGCCCTCAAGCTGGGCGTTCCCTCTCTCCTCCCAGGGCTGTTGTGTTTGTCGTGGACAGTGCAGCGTTCCAGCGAGAGGTGAAGGACGTGGCTGAGTTTCTGTACCAAGTCTTGCTGGACAGCGTGAGTCTGAAGAATGCACCCTCGTTCCTGATAGCCTGCAACAAGCAAGGTGCCTCGGGTCCCGGCAGCGGGGTCCTTGGGGTGGGCTGGGGGACAGGCGAGGTGCCTCGGGTCCCGGCAGTGGGGTGTTCGGGGCGGGCTGGGGGACAGGCGAGGTGCCTCGGGTCCCAGCAGCGGGGTCCTTGGGGCGGGCTGAGAGTTGGCTCGGCGTGTTTGCTGTGGTTCTGGAGGATGGCAGACAGCTGTGCAGAGCAACGATAGTTGGGAGGGTTATACATGTTAGAGTCTGTTTGTACTTCTACCTTCTCAGCAGTCTCGGGTGCCGAGAGAGGGACTGTCAGTGGTTTTTCTTTGATGTAGTGTTTTGAGAGAGAGAGAGAGAGTGTGTGTGTGTGACTTCAAGTGTCCCAGCTGGTCAGATCAATAGTCTGTCGTATCATCCTCAGGGCCACAGGACAGTGTCTCCTTTCAAATAAGTTTGCTAGCAAATTTGATCAAGGAGCGCTTGCAGAAGTTTTTTTTTTTTCCTTTTTGGATTTATTTATTTTTATTGGAAAGTCAGATATACAGAGAGGAGGAGAGGCAGAGAGGAAGATCTCCCATCTGCTGGTTCATTCTCCAAATGGCCACAACAGCCGGAGCTGAGCTGATCCAGAGCCAGGAGCCTCTCCCAGGTCTCCCACGCAGGTGCAGGGTCCCAAGGCTTTGGGCCGTCCTCGACTGCTTTCACAGGCCACAGCAGGGAGCTGGAAGGGAAGCGGGGCTGGCGGGATTAGAACCACACCAGGCCCTCAAGTTGTATTCTTTTTACCTGATAAGCACAGAAAACTTTGCAGTGACACCCGGCGAAGCTGAGCTGGTACATATAAAATTCTGCCTGGTTCTGTGGAAGGCCCAGTGCCTTTTTCGGGTGGGTAATCGCCCACTCCTGCTGTTCAGTGCCGAGCTGAGCACCTCGGGCCTGCTAGGGTTTTGTTTGCCCAGACTGTCAGCCCAGGCCTGTTTACTGTCGTGTCAGCTGCAGGCATGGTAAATCGACTGCTGAGTGAGGCCCTGGTAGCATTGGGGTTTTGCTAGGCTTATGTCGGTAGTGAATGGAAAGAGGTCTGTCGGGTGTGCACAGCTTCAGACGCCAGGGTGATCTGTTTGTAAGCGTCACTGTGGGAGAAGCACGCGCAGAGGCAGAGCTGTAATGGAGAAGCCGCAGTGATGAGAGTGCGTCGAAGGCAGACTGGCCGGTGCAGATGGGAGGGTTCTGCGTGCAAGAAGACGTGGGGGCGGCCTTTTCTCTTTAAACTGAAACAATACTATTATTTCTTTACAGATATTGCGATGGCAAAATCAGCAAAGCTAATTCAACAGCAGCTGGAGAAAGAACTGTAAGTGCATGAGCGGGGCCCTTGGTTCAGCAGGTGGCCGGCCAGCGGGGCCCTTGCTGCAGTGGGTGGCCAGCCAACTGGGCCCTTGGTTCAGCAGGTGCCCGCACGCCTACGAGGGCCCAGTGTGTCCTCCCTAAAGTTTATCCCTAAAGATGAAAGTATATCATTTTATATCCATTTTTTAAAGACTTGGTGTGTTCCTAAAGAAAGTGTTGTTTGCCTTCAAGCCACAGTGCAGAACTGAGAGCGACTTTCTTTTTGAGGAAAGTGGGTGCATCTGTGCGTGGTTGATTCTGTTTCTGGGGAGCAGGAAGGGGCGGAGTCAGGGAGTGCTGTTGCTGCAGTCTTTACTGGGGCCGGCAGGTGGCAGTGAGGAGGCTCACACCGGATCAAGAGGATTAGCCCAGCCTGAATGGGCACTGTGGAGTTCATGATTTCTAAGTTCCATGTCCAGAGGGGCTCAAGATAAAAATGTACAGCTTCATTCTCAACCCTTTCAGAAAGCCGAGTTTGTAGCGTGTGTCATTGCGCAGGGCCTGAGAACACGGTTGGCTGCACTGCCGCTCGTCCGGCATTCCTGCCACCTCCTGTGTCTTGCAGAGTACCCGAGAGTCACAGGGTACTTGGTGGTTCTGTGGTTAAGTTGTCCGGGTGCTGGACTATCTGGGACTGCAGGATGCGGTTACCGTGGGCCTGCTTGGCTTCCTGACCTGTTTGCCTTCTGCCCACAGCAACACCTTGCGAGTTACCCGGTCTGCCGCGCCCAGCACCCTGGACAGCTCCAGCACTGCCCCTGCACAGTTGGGAAAGAAAGGCAAAGAATTTGAATTCTCCCAGCTGCCCCTCAAAGTGGAGTTCCTGGAGTGTAGTGCCAAGGGTGGGAGAGGGGACTCTGACTCTGCGGACATCCAGGACTTGGAGAAGTGGCTTGCTAAGATCGCCTGAGGGGCAGCCCTGGAGCACAGGAGCGGGTTGGGAAAAGGGCAGCGGTGGTCCCCGAGTTGCTAAGGAAGAGGGACAGAATGTGTGTTCTGGAAACAAGGTACTATTGAAACCAACTTGGAACTTGTCAAGTCCCGGCTCCCCATTGCTTCCGTCCAGCGTTTGCTGGCTGCAGTGTCCAAAGCCCTGTGAGCCAAGCTGACTGCCTAGCAAAGTCGTGGCCAGGAAGGTCATGACGGTCCCTGCACCTTTCCTTGCTTCCTGCTTTTGCGGTTTGGCCCCCTTTCCCTGGAGACAGGCCTGTGTATGGGAACCAGTTGATTTGCTGCACCACTCACGTTCAGGGTTGGTCCATTGTCTCGCCGTTTATTCTCAGTTTGATTGGGTACAGAGCAGAGGTGAGCGGAGGGACTGTTCCTGGCCCAGCCTTCACCGGAGGCTTGCCGGGAGCTCTCAGTCCCTCGGGTGATAAGAGCCTCAACTGACCAGAGTCAGGTGTGCTCTGGGGCCTGTGCAGGTGGGGATCCTGCTTTGTACTCTGGACGGCTGCATGCCTTGGGGCCGTGCACCTGTACAGCCTCATCAGCCCCTGCTTTGCCACAGCTGGGATGCTGTGGGGCAGGTGCAGAGTGAGAACGTTCTCTGTAGTCTCCAAATACATATTCACAGATGCTTAAAAAAATAGTGTTTTCAAAAGGGCGTTCTTGGTTGTCTTCTTAAACACTAGGTGTTTTTATTGTGTCTTTATTAATACCTTTCCTGATAAACATGCTATCTGGCCCAATAAAGCAATAAAATGGTGGTGTAGAGTGCTCAGGGGTGGAGGGACTAACTCCAGGTTAACTTGAGCCTGAAGCCGGTTGTGCACAGGAAGGGCTACTTGGGGACAGGGCCAGTGACTGCTTACCCAGAGACAAGGGTGCCCCGGGTAGGCGAGCAGCCAGTTCCAGAGCAGTGTACTGGGAGCTCCTGTAGCCACAGTCCCAGAAGGATGGCTTCTGTCCCCTTCCTGGGGGGACAGTGGGGCAGAGCGCCCACATCCCCGCAGACCGTCGCTATTTCTGGTAAATGTGCCCCAGGCCCGCAGCCCCTACAGCGTGCAGGCAGCCAGCACGAACACGGGATAAGTGCAGCATGCGATGGGAGTCAGACCTTGATGACCCGAGCGCTCATCTGAAGGCTGCTGTTCCAACCCGTTGGACACTGGCTCCAGGTAGCACCTTAAGGCAGTGGGTGACCAGGAGTCGGACTGTGGTGTGGGTGTGGCGTCATGGCCACATGATCATGGGAAGTACCTGGAAGCGAAAATCCATGGTTTCTGTTAAGAGGTGTGTATGTGCTCTCAGCTTCTCTTGGTTTATTTTTTCTGTTTTTGAGAAGGGTCACTCAGCTGAACCCAGTCCTGCAGCACAAGGCAAGTGGTGGGAGAGGCGCCGGGAAGGGCTCCGTGATTCCCAGGCCAAGCCTTAGAGCCAGAGCACACTGGAGACCCCAGCCACCCCAGCCAGACCGCCTCCGGAGGCCTCGGGAACCACAAGATTCCACTCCCACTTGCTAGGCAGGTGGAGTGCCCAGCCCAGCCCCAAGCTGCTGTGAAGGCCCAGCGTCCAGGGCAGGGCCCCCTGTCAGCAGGCGCCATGGGCGAGCCTGGTGCCCACCAGCGTTTGAGAGTCCCAGTCCAGTTCCACGTCTCCTTTTCCAGAAGACCATCGTTAGGCCTGGAATAGAATGTGGTCAGGGCCGAAGTGGGAGGCAGCCACTCGACCTCATACGGGTGAGGATACCTTCCATGACTTGTTTGCTGTGAGTGGCTTTCTGGAGACCACCAGAAGGAGCAGGGATCCACGGCAGGAAGTCCTACTCCCAAGGCCCAGTTCTGCCTGGGGCCTCTCGCATCAGGGCTGGGCAGCTGGAGATGATGGGGACGCAGGGGGTCATCTCGGGTGTCCCACCTTGGCCCCCTAGCTGGTGAGCCTAGCTGAGGAGGAGAAAGGAGCCAAAAGCTGTGGGCCAGGGGCAGACCACCCAGGCACAGGAGTAGGGGCGCCCTGCACAGCAGGCACTTGACCCCTGCTTTTGCTCAGCTGTCCCCCATTTACAGTGGCCCCGCTGAGAGACTGGACACGCAGCTGTGCGGAGAATCAGGGCAGTTTATTGTCTAACATGCGGAGTCCTTCCACAGTTTACACAGTTTAAAGAGTGTGGCCACCGTGCCTGTTGCCCACGCGAGCTGCACACGGCGGACACGTGTGTGCACACAGTGTGGGGATGAAGGTAACCCACACTCCACCAGCAGCGACACCCAGACCGCGGCTTGGAGTCCAGGGCCCCTGCACGCTGAGCTCTCCAGGCTGCGCGCTGAGGACTGCACCAGCTGAACGGGAGTCCCCACAGAGCTGACTGCAAAGGGCCCCTCGTTGGGGAGGTGCAGCAGACGTGGGCCTGGCTGTGCTCTACAGGGCAGTAACCCAAACACCCACGCACCCTCCCAGCTTGCTCATGGCTGAAACAGCCTGAGAGCAGCCTGCACACAGCGCTCATTCCTTCCCTGCAAGCATGCCCTCGCGTCACTTTCCTTTCCTGGGGCCTGGGAGACTCGCATCCACGTGGCCATTGCCCTTCTCACACCTGGGAGCACTGTATGATGGCGACAGAGGACAGTCGCAGCAGCAGCCGGGGAGGGGGCTCTGGCCCTAGGAGCTTGCCTGGAACCAGCAGGCCGGTGAACACTGCCCCCTCCCCTGCCTCAGCCAAAGCAGGCAAGTGGCAGTCCTATGTCACACCTTCAGATTGGGGCAAGTGTGTGACCGGGGCTGCCTGCTCCATCTTAACACCGGGCATTTAGGTACCTGTGACACTCTTCACTGCTTTGCTTTGAGATCCCCAACAGAGAAAAGGGCAGAATAGAGGATCTGCTCAGCTGCCGGGGCACGGCCAGTCTAAGGGGACAGCAGTGGACTTCCCAAGCAGGTCATTTCCTGCAGGGAGTCCATGCTGGCCTCTTGCCCTCACAGGGATGCACAGCCAGTCCCACGACACTGCACCAGCACTTCTGTCCCCATCAGAGAACCCGGCCTATGTCATGGGGGCTGCTCACACAGACCCCAGGCAGGGGCCCACGGTGGGCACTGCCAAGGTGGCTGAATAAGAGGCTGTATCCTCCCCCTCAGAGGCCATGGGGCCTGGACTCTGCGGGTGCATGCTAGGGAAGGCAGGAACTCCCCCTCGCCCCCAGCAAGGCCACATCAGGCCAGCTGACACGTGCTGCTGCTCCGGGTCACCGTGGGAAAACAGTCCCGGTCTGAGAAGGCAGGCTGTAAGCCACCCCGTGTGGGTTACACAGCTTTGCAGAGTTATCCTTTAGTGCCAACGAACAAATCTAGCACACGTTGACTTACTGGGATCCCCAGAGCAAACCCTCTTCCAACAAGCACCAATTGGGAGTGTGCTGGCTGATGGGGCTGGGGAGCCCCGGCCCACACGAGCACACACACTCATGCATGTCAGTGTGTAGAGATGGTGGCGACACGGCCAGGGGCGGGCGCTACCCACAGCTCACCACACCTATGTGCGACTTTATTGATGGCAAGACAATCACGAGTTATTAGACAATATTCAGCATTTCTGGTTTCAACACGTCGCAGTACTTTTGAGTTTCCAAAACTTATCACAAGGCAAGTTCCAACTCGAGAGCAGCAGAAACAAGACTATTGATGGAGCACGTGTACCTGTGAGGATGTGACAGTGGAAGGCGTATACACAAGTCTATCTCTATATATAATTATGTACACACATAGAAAAACGAAACACACGACACTGGATTACGTTCGTACGCTGGTCCTCGCCTTCTGGAAGGGGTGCTCGTGGAATCGTGCTGCCTCTCGTCTTCGCCGGAAGGTCGAGTCCTCAGAAGCGCAGTTCTGACGTGTGCGTGCGGTGGCCTAGGCTGCCATGGGTCCCCCAGTGCCATCAGTCCTGCCTCTAACCATCTGGGGTCAGTTTCTCAGAATGCATCCTGGTCACCTGGATGGAGACCTCCTGCCTCAAGGAACTTGCCCTGCCAGATCCCAGTGGTCATTTGGCCCATCTGTGACATGCCCATCGGCTGATGCCAACGGGGGGTGAGGCTGGGATGCTTGTGCCAGAGCCGCCCACTGCTGGGCTTAGGTCACCGTGGAATGCTGGCCAGGTAGCACATCGCATGGCATTCTCTGCAGAGATCTGATAGGTCTTACGGACCAAGCCACTCTAGGGTCAGCCGAGAGCGGCATGGGGAGGCCTTCTAGGGGTAAGTCCAGAGACCCCACCTTAACCAAACGCTCAGCTGCCCACATTGCAGCTGCAGTATCCAGAGAGGCACGTGCAAAAAGTTCAAGTGTGCCAGGCCAGAGGGGCAAAAGCAGGGCGAAATTTGGCCTTTCCAGAGCCAGCGGGCAGAGCAGGTGAGGGTCTGAGAGCAGGGATCCTGCCCCAGTCGCAGGTGGGCCAATGTTACGAGGCTCAGCCTCCTCCAGAGGTGCCACAGCGCCTGGCAGCACACGTTGGCAGAAACCTCTCACAGCCACACGGGGTTCCCCGGGTTACAGACCCACAGAAAACAGCAGCACCCCGGCCTTCCCACGAGCTCCCACTCAGCAGGTCACTGGGCAAGCACAGAACACAAGCCCTTGATCCTGACCTTCGATGCCTTGCCAGGTCATGAAAAAGAGAGGCAGAAGCCGTTGCTCTGTGTTGGCTGCCAGGCCTCTCTACTGTCCACAAGACCAGCCTTCCAGCTTAGCGACCTGCTGAAGTCCCGCAGGGCCTGGAGGGTGGCCCTGGGAGCCTAGAGAACCGGGAGTTTAAATCGACTGGGCGGGGAGAGAGGAAGGCAGAGGTGCTGAACGCTCCTGAGAGCTCGGGAAGGAGGGAGTGTGTGGAAAAGTTTACAAATATACAAAAACAAAAAAAGCACATCTTTCAAATAAAAATGACTACTTTTTTTTTATCTGGCAAAAAGTTGTATACACATGATTTAAATTTTTTTTAAATTTTAACAGTTTTTGGCAATTTTAATAAAGTACAATATATTACAACCAAACCAAAAAATAGTTGTTTAAGTAACAGCTGTTAAGAGTGAGGTGATCCCTGATGCCCGGCCTCCCGCCCCCTTCCCACCCTACTCCTAAAGACAGAGAGAAAAGAAAAATCCTCCCATCTGGATAGACTCATTTCCCACCCCCCTTAGGAAGCTAACCAATAGGAAGCAACACAACAAGCGAGCAGTGTCAGAGGGAGCCGCGGGTCACCGGCCCCACATTAGCAGGAGCAGCCGCCCTCGCTGGCCGGGGGCTCCTGGGGTTTGTCCAGCTTGATGTCAATCACTGCGGGAGGCGGGCTAAGGAAGACCACGCTGACAGGCTCTGCCCTCCCCCCACCCTTTCCCTCTGCTGGCACAGGGCCTCTTGGAGGAGAAGGAGCTGCCCCCCTGTCCACACATACCTAGGCCAGGGAGTCGCTTTCTCAGAAGCCTCCCTTGGTGTCTAGGGCTGCAGGACCAGCTGCCAGCCATGGCCCTACCCCACAGTGCACTGTAGGTTATAAGCCTTCTGGCCAGGCCCGGGGGACTGGGGGCCTTGCCCTGATGGGCAGCAGGAATACAGGCCTTGCCAAGCCCTAATCAGAGCACATGGCTTAGATCTTAAGGTGAGCTACACTCACCAAACCCCGACCTCCTCCTCAGCCAGTTCCACTGGTGTCTGCAGGGGCCACAGCTGGGAGGGCATGGCACATATCAGACTCACCATGGAAAGCGAGCCAAAATGCACCACAGCTGATGACCAAGCCTTGGGCAGGTGGATATTTCAGGTTCACAATCCAGCCAGACCTTGCTGTTACAGCCAAGGGCCAGGCCTGCTGTGGGACTGCACTGGGCAGGGGCACATGCATAAAGATGCTTACAGAAGATGCCCTGTTGCAGGGCTTGGTGCTGGCATCCTACTTGAGGACAGGAAAAGCCGTACTTCTCTGAGGTTCACATCCCCTCCTTGCTTTGGATGCCGGGACGCTCAGAGCCGGCTTTCCAGCCACCTCTAACAACCACTCAGCATGGCGTATGCTGTGACTGCAGCTCCCGAGTTCTCTCGGCTGTTCCTGCCTTTATTTTCCCTCGTATGTGAGTGTGCACGTGTATGTATAGGTGTGTACACACACCAAGGGTCTCTAAAGTGTTCGTGAGCAATGGGTATGAAAAAAACTAAACATGGATTTTAAGTTTCTGGCATCAAAATAAACTTACTGCCTCATTGCATTTCCAGACTTTTTGCAGTACCCTTGAATACTCCCACGTCTTTATCTTGTTTCTGTGGATGTGTGTGTGTGTGTGTGTGTGTGTGTGTGTGTGTGTGTGTGTGTGTGTGTGAGACAGCAGAGTATAAATTAATAAGCAAATACAGTCAACAATTGCCTCCCCTTCCACTTCCTGCTGTGTTGCTCCCAGGGTTCCTCCAATAAATGAATCTACCACCAGAATGCCCTGCTGTTACCATTGCCACCTGGGATGCTGTAGTCTCCACCAGCCCTGGGTGTGCCTGGTCCCCTCTGCTCAGCTGCCCTTGGCCAGGTCTCTGCACGGGGTCCTGATCCATGTCCCTCTCTCAGCTTGCCCAGCCCTCACTCAGCAGAGTGGCTTCCTAAAGCCAGCTCTAGGGACAATCGTGTCACACTGCGGGATGGGGCTCCCGCATCTGCAAAGCTCTTCGGCACTGAAGGCCTCTCCCAGTGGAGTGTGCCTGGCCCCACACCTGGGCTCCCTTCACCAGCCCTGCACGGTGGGTGGAGTCCCCTCTGTGAAGCCTTGGCAGGTGGTCCTGAGCTGCCACTGTGTGCTGGGTGCTGGGCCGAGTGCTGTAAATGCCTTGCCTCGTCTGGAGGCCAAGCCAGCGCAGCCGCATGTGAGATGTGTCTTACTCCCGGCCAGAAGGCCCAGGAGGGCTGCGGGCAGAGCCCAGGCTATCTGACCCGACAGGCAGGCTTTGAAAGGACCCGTTCTGCCAAGTCCCTCTCATGCTGGTTTTTCAACTTCAACACCCCTGGTGTTTGGGGCAAGCCTAGAGCACAAGGTGCTTAGCTACATTCCTGACCTTTTCACTGGATGCCGGCAACACCCGTGCCCCGACCTGTGACTCCTGGATGTAGTGTCAGTCCCAGAACCACTGGCCTGGCTGCAAGTGGGGGCACCATGCCAGCACTCACCCCGTCTGATCTTACACTGACCTGATGGCCACTTTGTAAAAACACCTCCTGGGCACAGCAGGAATGAGAGCACTTTTGGACACTGCACGGCAGGCAGTTCTCCAATGAACCGAGCCCCAAACTCCAGGACAATTGTTAAAAATATACCTCCCTGGCACTACATGAGCACACCTGGGGTGACCTTAGATGTGTATTTTGAACAAGTCCTCTGGAAGATTCCCAATGTGCAGACTCCTGGGAGCCCCATTTGATCAATATTTCCAGAACAGCACTGCCCCGAAGGTCTTCCCATGACAAGGGAAATGCTCCCCGTGGGCACCGTCCATCAGCAACACGGACGCCCGAGGAAACCAGGGCAGGGCAGGAACTGGACAGTAATGGTGCTTCATTGCAGGTACAGCTAAACAGCCATGGAGGGTTGCATCCGGCCAAGCCCTGAGCCCCAAGTGTGGCTACAGATTTGGGTTTCTTGCATCATCGCCAAGCAGGGATTCTGGGTGGCTCTGACCTTGCATCTGACCGTGGGTCAGCACGGGTCCCAGGCCTTCCTCCTTCCCTCATCCCCCCTCTACTCTTGGCTGAACCAGAGAGCAGCTCCCTCCTCCTGGTAGTGGGAGGGGAACAAGCAGGGCCATGGTGTCACTGCCTGGTTGGCTCTCAACATTATGCTGTCAGTTTCCTTGGCTTTAACACTTACAGCTGGATCCCCTCCCACTGCCTGGCGCTGGGGGAAAAGAACTCAAGACTGGATGCTGGGACCCTCAGGGCAGCAGCAGGGGGACCCTGGGACAGGCCTGCAGGGACATTGACCTCTACAAGCTTCCTCAGGGAGCTCACCAAGTAGCCTGGAGTGCCATCCCACCCTGATGTTCCACAGGTAGTTCCACAGGTCCCAGATGATGCTCAGTGGCCAGTCCTGGGACGCCTGGCCTGGGTCCTTGCAGTCGCTGCAAGAATATGTCCTACTTAATGAAAGAAGTGGAGCAATGGACACAGGCCCTGTTGTAAAGGGAGAATATGGCAGCTCATTTGGTGCTGTAGAAGAACAGAACTAATTGGACAACTACCCCAAACAAACGATGAAGCAAAAAATCTTGGTGAATGGAGCCAATGGACATTGGGAGGGTGATGCCACACTCGGATCGGTGAAATCGGCAGCATTTCAGAACTATCCAAGCCACCTGGACAGAATCTTGGAATACGTACACATTGAGACCCTGGGTTGATAGGAGGTGGCAGTTCCTCATCCCTGGGCACTGGGACGTGTGGAAAGTCATGCGTGGTTTCCCCCTTTGTCTCTCCCCTTTCCCCAGGAACAACAAGAAGAAACAGCAAATTTGGAAGTAATAAGTTCACCCAATTTTCCCTAAACCTTGATCCTTCCCACCCTGATCCACCAGGCAATCATTATAAAAAATAAAATTTATATAAAAAGCAACACTTCTAGCTGGAGGAGCCAGGGTCTGTTTTGATCTGTCACAGGTGCATGCCCACAGGGAAGCATGTAGAGTTCTGGGAAGCTATCCCAGGAGGACACTCCACTCGGGAGGGTGCAGACCAGCAGCTGACAGTATGGTACAGTGGGTCAATCCACGCCACCTGAGATGCCAGCATCCCATAGTACAGTGCTGGTTTCAGCCCCAGCTGCTCTGTTTGCAATCCAGCTCCTTGCTTCTGGACATGGAGAAGGAGTAGAAAATGGCCCAGAGGCTTGGGCACCTGCTGCTCAGGATGGAAGCTCCTGGCTCCTGGCTTTGGTCTAGACCCAAATACTCCAATCATTTGGTGGAGGGAACCAGCACATGGAAGATCTCTCTATTTCTCCTTTATACTATGATGACATTGTTCCTTTTAAATAAATAATTTTTAAAGGTTTAATTTATTTTTATTAGAAAGTCAGATATACAGAGAGAAGGAGAGACAGAGAGGAAAATCTTCCACTGCAATGGCCGGACTTGAGCCAATCCAAAGCCAGGAGCCAGAAGTTTCTTCTGGGTCTCCCATGCGGGTGCAGGATCCCAAGGCTTTAGTCCATCCTCGGCTGCTTTCCCAGGCCACAAGCAGGGAGCTGGATGGGAAGCAGGGCTGCCAGGATTAGAACCGGGACCCATATAGGATCCTGGCACATGCAAGGTGAGGACTTTAGCCGCTAGGCTGCAGAGCAGGGCTCTGAGTGCCCAGTGTCTAGGAGCTGACTAGAACAGAGACAGGCAACTAGGGGTAGGGAAGGCCTTCACCTAGCCAACCCTCTCAAGTACTCTGAGGGGCACTGTCCCTCACAGATAGAACAGGGATGCCTATGGAGGTGGCAGGTCAGATGTGGAGCCTATGTTTGTCATTTGCACACTGACAACGCAGGCTGCCCCGGGATCCTGCACTTCCCACGTGGCGTGGGAGTCATGGACAGCTGCAGGGACTGTGTGGGGCTGGGCACAGGGGGTCATCCCTGAAGGGAGAGTCTGGTTCCACACACGAGATATGTTCCTGTGGTCACTGTGCAGATGGGCAGAGCTCTTGCCCCCTGGGGTCCCCACACACTGTTCACTGGAACAACACAGCAGGATGGGCCCATGGCCTTGGGCCTTTGCACATGGCTCAGGAGCAGCCCCAGGCCCCAGGCACCTGCGGTCTGGGAAGGCTGAGCCCAGGCTCGCATCCTGCCCGAGTGCCCAGTCAACATGCGACTTCTCCAGCAGACCCGTCCACACCACCTCACTGAAGGCAAAGGATACTCCCTTCTTTGCTTTTCTCCTGGACGTTCTCCATGCCGGGCAGAGCCGACGCTACACGTCGGAAGAGCTGGGGAGACGGGGGACGAGGCGTGAGCCTAGCCTTGCATGCCCTGGCCTTGCCCTTCACCCTCCTGGGGGCCTAGCTCACTGCATCCCAGAGGACAGGCCGCTCCATGCTTCTCCAATAGGCCATAGCCTGGTATAGACCCTGGCGAGGCCCCCAGAGCATGGACCCCAGGCAGGCTTGTGTGTGCCACCCTTGGGTGGGATGCAGCATGGAACAGACATGACCCCTGACACTGAGGCTAAGGCCTCTCCTCCCCGTGGTCACACTTGTCAGGGAGCAGGACATGGGGGTGTGTGCATAACACCATAGATCTGTCTGGGTATGCGGCTACGTGTGGGTGCAGTGCACGTGTTGGCATATACAACGTGTGGGGTATGTGAGAGAAGGTGCGTGTGGGGGTCTGCACATGTGGACACGTGTGGTCCTCTTCCTGTAAGCGAGTGAGGGGGTGAGGCTGGCGTGTGTGTGTGCATGTGTGTGTTGGGAAGGAGTCTCACAGTTGACCAGGACAAGGCCCAGAAGATTCAGAACTGCCCCGTTCTGGATGTCTGTCCCCTGTCCCAGCCAGTCCCAGGATGGCAGTACTGAGAGCTGGGGCCCAGGGATGCTGCTCCAGCATCTCCCTTCGCATGAGGACACATGAGGAAGGCCCATACCAGGTGCCAAACTACTAGCCTGGACCCTGCCCCTCCAAGGCTCCAGAGTCAGACATTCTGTCCCTGTGATTTGTGGCTGCAGAGACATAGGGCAACCAGCTGCCCTAGGGTGCCGTGTCTTCGTCATGCTCTCTCTCAAGGAATAGGCAGTGCAGGCACATGCGGGGGCCAGGCTGCATAGGAGCCCTGCGCTGAGGCCGACAAGCTGCAGTGGGGCGACGGACTGGCAGGACAGAGCAGGGTGATGGGGATGGCAGCCCCATCCAGAGCTTTCCTTCCCTCCCCGACCCCTGCCCTGGATTTGCCCCTGCAGCGCCATCCTGCCTGACTGGCTGGGGAATGGGCCACAGGCCTCTGCCGGTGGCGCAAGAGTTAGCATCCTTGGGCAAGGAGGGGGTCGTCCTGAGCAGACCTGGCCTTGGCTGGAGCCGCCCAGGGGTGTGCACCACTGTGCCACATTTACCCTCTATCACAGGGCTTGAAGGGCCCGCAGCTGACTCTGTTCCCACCACGGCCTGGGTCCCAGAGCACCCAGCTGGGCCACCTGCTGCTGCTGCCCTCTGCCTCCCTGTTCTCCCAGAGAACAGAGCCCAGGGCCTACTTCCATGAATGACAGCTCAGCCTGGCCCTGCAGGAGGCTGGAGGGCAGTGAGCCAAGCCTTGCTGAAGGGCACACAGCATGAGCAGCACTGGGGAGGGGACCTCCCAAATGCCATCACAGTGTGTCTGGAGCTCTACTGAGATGTTGGCCACCCTCATTCTCCTCGGCAGGGCTCTCAATCTTGCTCTGGCAGCCCAGGGAGGCCCACAGATCCCCACCCCCTGCCACAGCCACTGATTACGCAGACTCAGCAACAGAGGACTCTGCACGAGGCCATGGGTGTGCAAACGGAGCTCTGACACACCTAAGGACATGCACTGTGCCACGATGACATCTGTGCTTCCTTAGGAACCTGCTCAACAGGCAAAACGGGCAGTCAGCCTGCAGCCCCTCTGATACTGAACCAGGGATGTGCCTGGAATTCAAGGAGCCGGTCCCTCCACAAAGCGGCCAGAGGACACCCGGATTTGGTCAGAAAGCGGGGAAAGCTGTGGGTTCTGAGTCCCACTGACTACACCCAGCACTGAGGGCAATGCTGAGGTCAGTGAGCACAAGGGGCGGTTTCCAGCACAACCCACTGACCTGCTGGACTCCATCCCTGGACTCCCTGAGGCTGTGACCCAGGGGGCTCTTGTCCCACACCTGTGCTGCCCCTCCGGGACCCCCAGCACTTGGCAAGCCAAAGGGAGGGAGGGACAGAGCTGATCAGGCTGCATTTTCTGCATCCTTCATCCCAAGTGATGTCAGACACCAGAGGACCGCTGCTGCCGGAGGCCGGTGGCTAGACCTGCCTTGCAGCCTGCTGCCAGTGGTGGGTACAAGTGGCAAGTGACTGCCAGTGCCCAGAAGACCAGCTCTGACTGGGTCTGCAGCCACTCTGGCTGGCCAGCTCCCTCAGGCCAGGGCAGGGCAGAGCCTGTGGCTGGGCACTGCCTGGAAGCCAGCATGGGCCTCCGTGGCCAGACGGGCAGGCAGCCTTACCTGCTTCACGTTGTAGCCGGTCTTCGCACTTGTCTCAATGAACATAACGCTTAGCTCTTTGGCACGCTGCTCGCCTTCCTCGATGGTTATCTGCCTGCAGAGCCAGGCAGAGAGCAAGTCAGTCCAGCAGAGGAGGGACCACTGACCGAGGCAGAAGGACAGCCCGAGACAGGGAGGGGTGGGTCAACTCTGAAGACCTCTAGTCCCCAGGGGTCCCTGCCCAGGATGAAGGGGACCCCCAGGCATGGCAAGATCGCAGCCCCTTTCCTCGTTTCTTCCCACGGTGTTAGCTTAGAAACAGGCTGTTCCCTAATTATCTTTTCCGCTGCAAGAGCTGACGTTAGCAAAGAGCTAAATACCACCTCTGTGGGCAGAAACATCAGACCCACCCTCCAATGAGAATACGAAGGTGAAAATATTTAAAATGGGGACAGTCTGATATCCTGAGGCTCCCAACATGACCAGCCCTTAAGAGGTCAGGGAACCTCGCAGGATGCTGGACTCCCTGATCCAGGTGAGTCCCATAGCTCTTGTAAGAGAGCTGCATGCCCACACATGGCAACCACGCAGGCAGAGTGGATGGCAACGTGGGGTGCAGGCCACCTCCTGCCCAGGGTGGTCACACACACACACACACACACGAAGCATCTGGGAGCCCAAGGGACTGTAATGGCAGTGGCTTGGCTGTAACCACAGCACAGCCCTGACTGCCCACATCTGGGGCATGCACACAGGGCTCCATGGACACAGCCAGGTGCCCCACCCTGCAACATGGTGAAACTGGAGTCCTCAGAGGTGAGGCGCTGGGGGGTGGAGTGTCTCCCTTACTGTTCTCATAGCTCCTACTGCAAGCACAGACCCGGCCTCCCTCCATGTACCCCAGAACTACAGCCCAGCCTCAGCTCTGCCCCTGCAGCCCAGCCCCAGCTCTGCCTCTGCAGCCCAGCCCCAGCCCTGCCCCTGCGGCCCAGCCCTGCCCCTGCGGCCCAGCTCTGCCCCTGCCGCCCAGCCCCAGCCCTGCCCCTGCCGCCCAGCCCCAGCCCTGTCCCTGCGGCCCAGCCCCAGCCCTGCCCCTGCCGCCCAGCCCCAGCCCTGCCCCTGCCGCCCAGCGCCCACCTCTTGTCAGCCAGATCTGTCTTGTTGCCCACCAGCATGATGATCACATCACTGCCCCGCTCTGTCCGCACGTCATCGATCCACTTTGAGGTCTGCTGGAAGGAGTTGAGATCTAGAGGCAGAAAGGAGGCAGGGGGAAGTCAAGTGCCTGTGGCAGTAGCAGGGCGGCTGGTGAGTACCTCCGTGTCCCCTGCGCCAGGAGGGCAGAAGCAGCATCCACCCAGAGCAGCAGGGCTGGGGCTTTGCAGAGGGGACTGGACCCAGGCCCGTGGGCTTGGCGAGCCCCTGGCACTGCCCACCACCCTCTGAGTACGGAGTCACTGTCATGGGATACCAGCTTAGGGGCTCGCCTGAGCTCAGACCTGCCTCTGGAGGTGTGGGAGTAGAGCATGAAAATGAATGCCCAGGACTCGGCTCATCTTGGACACTGGGAGTGTGAGCGGTGCTGGTGGAGGGTGTTCGGAAGGATACAGCACCAGACCCCACCTGGGAACTAAGGTCCGTCAGGGTAGCCTCCCCACCAGCCAGGGCAGCTTGGGAAAGGCTGGGGGTGTCTGAAGAGAACTCGGGGGGCTCCACAGGTGAGAGGAGGTGAGAGGCAGTATGAAGAGCACTTGCAGGGTGACGGCTCCCGCTCTGCAGTGTTCCCCAGCGCGGAGGAGGCAGCCTGCCCTGGGAGGTCCATTTCCCAAGCCCAGATGGGCCGCCCTTCTGCGGGACATCCTGTCGGGTGAGCCTGGCTCTCATGTGCTCCCCACGAGGAGGAATTCTGCCTGTGGCCAAGGGTAGGCATGGATAAAATACAGGGGCAGAGCAGGAGCAGCTGGCTGGGGTGGCACCCGGGGTACCCTCCCATCTCAGCTGTGACCACAACCCGGAGGCTTCTATTGTGTGGGCCCCAAGCTGCCAGGCCTCTGCCTCAGCTCCCACCTGCATCCCCAGGAGGAGCCTCCCACGAGGCCGTCCATAAAGGCCCCAGGACCCCAGAAAGGCTCCCAGCTCCCTAGGGTGTCCTTGGAAGAACTGTGACACTAGCTGACACATCACGCCTGCTACATCCGGGTTGCCCAGGGGCCGGCCTCTCCCACCCTGACACGCACGTTCAGAAGCCACACTGTAGGGGCTGCTGGGCAGCCAGAGTGAGGGAGGGTGCAGCCTCGTCTGCTTGTCCACACACTGTCCCTGCCCCCGAGCAGGACCGAGCTGGCCCTGCACACATGCAGAATGGGGCTCGGGGAACTCCCTGGTGGTGACAAGCAGCTACCCGCCCGCTCCCTTCCCCGCCCCCGAGCCCCTTCCTCCGCGCACTCAGGCAGGAACACATCTGCATGCACACACAAGCACACACCACACACATACGCCTAGCCCTGACGTCACCCTCCCTCCCACAAGGACCCCCACTCACTTGTGATGTCATACACCACCACTGCCACTGTGGAGTCCCGGATATAGCTGGGGATCAGGCTGCGGAACCTCTCCTGGCCAGCTGTGTCCCAGAGCTGCAGTCGCACCTGTTGGGGCGGGGGAGGGGCAGGACATGAGCAGAGGGGTCAGAGGGGCAGTGAAGGCCTCCTCCTGGGCTGGGAGCGGGAGCAGGCTCAGCAATGCTGCCAGCACCACCTCGGGCCTCTGGGCTTGACAGGGTTCTCACAGATGCACAGCTGAGGGTCTGGGGGACACGCTCTCCACAGCCCCCCAGGTCCTCCCAGGCCTGAAACCCAGCACTCACCGTGCGATCCTCCAAATACATGGTTTTTGACAAGAAGTCAATCCCTATGGTGGCCTGTCAGAGACAGAAGGACACAGCGGTCAGCTCTCACGCACAGGGACACAGGCAGCAACAGAGCACATCCTGGCCAAGTATTCTCTGGGCCCTAATCGTCCAGCCCTGCCACCTCTGCCACCACTCAAGACCCCAGCAGTGCCCACAGCCTGGCCCCTCAGCGCCTGCACAGAGGCTTGGCTCTGTCCTTGCTTGATCAAGCAGAGCGCAGACCACCTGGGACAGGCAACATGCTGGCAGCCGACTACTGCCAACATCGCTGTGCCTCTTGTGTCCTGGCCCCAGGGAGACGCAGCCAGGGTCAAGCCCCAGCCTCACACGCCGTGTGGCCGTGGACGTCACCTGCACTGAGTGCTTGGAAGCAGAGACTAACTGCCGCCGGTGTGAGATGCAGATGATAACACCACAGGATCAGCAGCAGCGAAGACTTGACCAGCAGCCTTTGGAACGCCCAGGGCACTGGGTTAGCACTGCATGGTCCGTCCATGCCATTCGAACCCTGGGAAGCTACCGAGGGGTTCTTGAGTACTCCACGGAAGAGCTCTCTTCTCTCTCTCCCTCCACCCGCCTCTCTCTGTGTCCCTCTCTTTCTCTCTTGAATAAATTTTTAAAAACTATTTTAAAAGATTTATTTCATTTTTATTTGAAAGGCAGAGTGACAGAGAAAAGGATAGACAGAGATCTTCTATCTGCTGGTTCACTTCCCAGATGGCAGCAACGGCCGGAGCTGAGCTAATCCAGAGCCAGGAGCCAGGAGCTTTCTTTGGATCTCCCATGGAGGGACAGGGTCCCCAGGACTTGAGCCACCTCTGCTGCTTCCTCGGGTCATAGGCAGGAAGCTGGATAGGATGTGGAGCAAGCAGGACCTGAATCAGTACCCATATGAGATGCTGGCACCACAGACAGAGGCTCAGCGCATCACAACACAGTGCCAGCACCATAAAAAATTGTCTTTTAAAAAATGAAATAAATGGGTCCCACATTATAGGGTATGAGTTAAGCTGCTGCCTGCAATACTGGCATCCCTTATGAACACCAGTTCAAATCCCAGCTGCTCTACTTCTGGTCCATCTTCCTGTTAGTGGGCTTGCGAAAGCAGTGGAAGATGGCTCAAGTTCCTGGGCTCCTGCACCTGCGTGGGAAACCCTTACAAACCTCTGAGCTCCAGCCAGGCCCAGCCCTGGCCATTGAAGCCATCTGGGGAGGGAATCAGCTGATGGAAGACCTCTCTTTCGGTAACTCTGCCTTTCAAACAAACCAAAAAGAATCTTTAAAAAAAAAAAAAAACAGAGAAATAAATGAAAATCTAAAACAAAATGGGAATCTTAACACTCTAAATCCTACTATCTGAAATGAAAATGCACTGAGCTTCAATGAGAACAGCTGAGACACTGCAGAGGGTTCTGTGAACTTGAACTCAGGCCAACAATCATGATTCAATCCGAAGCACAGAGAGAAAAATGGATGTGATCAAAACGAGCAGTGCCGGGCGCCCTTCCGGGACAGCCTCCGATGAGCATGCATGCATCTGGAGCCTCGGGAGGAGGGCAGGAGCGGACCCGAGCCAAATGTTCACTGAAGAAATAACGGCTAGAATTTTCCCGAATTTGATTAGAAACATCCACCCGCAGCTCCAAGAGTCTAAAACAGGATAAACACAAGGACGACCACACCTAGGCCACTCACAGTCAAATTGCTGAAACCCTAAGATAAAGTCAAAACTGCTGACAGCGGCCAGGAGACAGCCGGACACATGTCATAGCCGGGGAACAGTGAAGAGAATGACGGCTGAGCGCTCCTCAAAAACAAAGGAGGACAGAAGATAGATGCATAATTACACTGCTTTCTAAACTGCTTCACAAACAGTATACATCCCAAAAACCAACAACAGAAACAACCTCCTCGGCCTGGAATTCTACAGCTGGTAGAAACGTTCTTGAAAAGTAAAGGCAGGGCACCGGTGTTGTGGCATTGGGCTCTGGTGGGCACATGGCAAATGACTAACTGAACTCTTCAGTGGATAGCTCCTTTCTAGCTTTGCTGTGGCCTCAAACTTCAGCTAAGCAGTATGTCCCTTTCAGCTTCCAGTAAGGCATGAGGTAGATCCAAACCAACCTCGCCGCCCCCCGACGCGCTCCCCAGGGACGTTGGGGTAGGATGCCAGGCCCCACTCGGCTCTGGAGCTGGAAGGCTGACTTCCCAAGCCACCTGCCAAGCTTGTGACATGCCATCTACAAAGTGATTCAAGTTCACTGGCAGAGAACGGGAACGGCAGTGCGGGCGCATTTATCAGAAATTCGGGAGCGACTCCCTGTCTCAGTGGAGGCTCAAGGGTAACCGTGGGAGCACATTCCGCCCGACAGGACGTAAGCAGGGATGGAAGGATCCCAGGGAAGCTTTGCTTTTTGCTCTGCCTGGAATGCAGATGTGATGACTGGAGCAGTAACGGCCAACCTCCAGGAAGATGAGAACCCGCTGTGTACATGCCAAGGAGTGGCACAGTCTGAGCGAGAGCCTGGGGGCAAGGGCCAGGGAGCTTAGCACATAATGTGCCAGCCACGTCCTCCCCACAGCTCCCTGCTCTGCACCTGAAAACGGAATCCTTTGTTGAAATTGGCCTGGGAGGGAGCAGCAGAGGTAGGTACAGCATCCCTGCCCAAAGGCTCCGGGGACTTGGGGAAGGGTCCAGCTCAGGGAAGCGTTGCAGTCCTGCAGTCAGTGGCCTGCTGCAAACAGCTGTGTAAGCCCCACAGGCTGGATCCCGCTCCCAGGGCAGCCCCTTTGGGCAGTGGTTTCCTAACCTGCACCCTGAGGTGAGGTCCAGCCGAGAGAAGCTCACAACCACCTCTGAGCAGTGCCCATGACTGAGCCATCCTTCCCAAACCCCGCCCCCAGAGCAGGTAATGGTAACCTGCAGCCAGGAGAGGCCCGAGCAGAGCCTGCTTCTCCTTGGCAGCCACCTGCTGAGGCCTGAGACTTCGTGACCCACTGCAGGTGTCGGGCAGGTGGCCTGTGTACCAGGCCTGCAGGTGTAAGGTCTGAGGGTGTGTTTCACCTAGCATGCGGGAGAAAGGGAAGGGGCTGGCTTACAGACTGGCAGGCCCCAGGTTTCTTTTATTCTATAATCAATGTTGAAGGTAGTTTCTTAGTTGTGGTTTTATGCAAGTGAAGCACTGCAGACAAGAGCCTCACCTGGCTGTGCATCTTGGTTTTCTTCTAAATACGTTTTCCAGCGACGTGTAAGAGACCAGTAAGTACATGCATTGAGAGAACAAGGCAGTTGTATGTATGCGTGCATGTTACTGTATGTGCACATGTGTGCTTATGTATACGTGTGTATGTGCACATCTGTGTGTGGGGTCACACATGCGTGGGTGTGTCTGTGAGGTGAGTGCCAATGGGTGCCAAGGGTGATGTGGTAAAGAGGGGAGTGGAGTGTAGTTTGGGTCCTGGGAGCTGCCGGGGCCGCAGTGGAGCGGGTAGAGTGGGTTCTGCTGGGTTGTCCCAGCTGTATTTGTCAAGTTAGCTGCGGCAGTCCCTGTGCAGGGGAGTAATTTGGGGAGTGTGTATATGCGGCTTATTCCCAATCCAAAGCTCCAAGGGACTGCTTCCCCAACACCACTGCTGCCTCATTAAGAAAAACAAAATGGGGTCTGACCCCTCCATCTCCAGAGAGTTCATTAAAACAAGAACTGGAGCCCAGCTTCCCAGCCAATCACCCCCTCAGGGAAATCCCACTTGCTCAGAAAAACAGAAAAAGTCGGCGCATACTGCTCATGGTGGCCAGCTGTTTCTCTCACCTCACCCTGACACCAGGTCTCTGGGGGGCCTGGATTTGACAAGGTCTGGAACCCTTCTCAAGCCACAGGCACGTGTAACTGCTCAGGCCCTGGGCTGGGCCCGTGCGTGTGATGGCGGGTCCAAGGAGGGCTGTGGCTTTAGCCAAGCCCACAGCCTGGCGCAGACACAGAGCATGGAAGAACTGCTGTAACTAACAACTGCAGGAGGCCATCTGAGCCCAAGGACAGTATGCTGTGTTGAAAGAGGGCCAGGAAGGGAACCAGAGCATGCCAAGAGCCTCAGAGTCAGCAGAATTCTTACAACAGGAGAAGGGAGAGAAGGGGCAGCCTGCGAGGCAGGTGTGGGAGGCGAGGCGAGCAGGCAGCACGTGACCCCAGGCAGGAGCCAAGCCGAGAGGCAGGCTGGGCCAGGGGCGAGTGACACGTACTTGGAAGAGTGGGTGACAGTGGAAGTGGATGCAGAGGGTCAAACTTTAAGGGACTTTCACCCACCCCTGCCAAGAGGCCCACTTGACATTCAAAAGTCATCAACTCATCCAAACATTGATGAGCTTGCGCACACACGCCGGCCAGGTCAGATGTCTGCTGGAGCTGTCGTCTCTAGGCCAAACAGGGCAGGCTCTGGCCTGCTTAGCCTAGGGGACCCCCTTGAAGGCCACGGGCATGTTCTCAGGCACCTCTCCCATCCCTCCCATCTCTACCCTACAGCCACCTCTTGCCAAGTGCTCCTGGTGACCCAGTATCTCAGGTTACATTAGGGTCAAGTCAAAATTAGAGGCAGACAGGAGGAGGATCCATAACGGAGGTAAGGTTGAGGATGGCTGAGGGAGGCAGGTGGGCTCAAGAGTAGACCTGCACATGAGGTCTGCAGGACGCCCCTCCCCTGCCTTGCTGCACCCACTTAGGAGTGGGCCTCTCAGAACAGCAGTCCTGTAGGGTGGGGTAACCCAAGAGTTCCATGACCAAATACATGGCATCTCTCTTTCTGAGAACCACAGAGCCACAGAGCGATAAAGTGAAGACCCTGAAAAGTGGCAGGTGAGCAGCCAACTTCCTCCTGCTCATTCTGAACCCATGCCCTCCCTATAATTCCAGCAGAACCCACTGCCGTCTCTGGGCACCAGAACCTCATAGAACCTACCAGTTTAGATGAATGCATTGCTGCTTACCACTGTCTTAAGGAAGGAAATGCTATTTTTTTTTCTTTCAAGTAGTTGAGATGATATGTCTACACCTTTTTCATTCATATGGTTGCAGGAAAAACTCACTTCCCTTGCTCAAGCTACCCACGTTAGTAGTACCAGGAAAGGGCATGGGACTGACCCCATGTGCTCAGTCTGCAGGCCACCAAAGTCACTTCTGCACCTGCAGCTGACCACTCTTGCACAGCCAGGAGCCACACAGGTCCCTGTCTCACCTCCTGTTTACACAGGGCAAGGCGATTACACAAAACTCTCCATGGAAGGAGGCCCAGTGCTGCATGTGTGTGTGTCAGAGGGTGCAAGGAGGGCATGCGGAGAGAGAGAGAGAGGCAGCGGTCCCAGCAGACACTCCACCATGCTGGAGAGGAGCCCTCCTAACAGCTCCTGCTCCCCGCACCACACCCCTGCCTCAGCTTTGCTGCTATTTTTCTCCCACCCAATGGCCCCCAAGTACCCAGTCCCCAAACTCCGTAACGGCCCGGACCAGGCTGTGAGGAGCAGGACACTCAGGCTGTAATGTGTCCACTCTATTTCTACTCTCCCTTTCCCTGGTCTGGATTTTCAGATTTTTACCCAGCACGGAGGGGAGCTCCTTCAGAGCAAAATGATCCCCCCAGGTCCCCAAGGTCCTACTCACACTCCAGGCCACAGTCTGCACCCCATGAGCCGGGGACACAGCTGGCTGGAAGCGCTGCTCACCTGGTATGTATTGTCGAAGCTGTCGTACATGAACCGTGTGATCAGAGACGTCTTCCCGACTGCAAGACAACAAGAGAAAGAGCTTCAGCCCAGGCTCGAGCAAAGACGCCCCTAAGCAGTGTGTGGGAAGGAAACGGCCATCACCCCCCCAGTAAGGAGCCCAGAGACGGGCAGGACACCGGGGCAGAGCCCCCAGCCAGGTGGCTGAGTGGAGCTCCCCATCTAGTCCCTGGCTGCTCAGCCCAGCACAGGGGCTTCAACAGTACCTGGAGGAACCACTTCCCAAGTGAGAATGGCAGGTTCACCCACATCCACCCACATGTCTGCAAAGAGCCTGCACAGGGCTGTGATGCCCTAAACTAGAAGCGCCAGCATGGCTGAGAGACACAACGAGGCTTCCAGGACTACCCCAAACATTACTCATTTCCCAAATGCAGAGTTTGGCTTCCAACCTAAGATGGATTTCCTGGGGTCCCGCAGGAGCTGAAATGCTGATTACTGCACTTGAAACCATCTGGGAAGGGAAGCAACATACATCAGGCCAGGCCTGCCATGGCTCTCCATGCCGTCCCCTATGGCTCTTGCCGTGGCCCTGAAAGCTGGGCTCCAGGCCCTCTGTGCTGCAGGTAGCAGCTCGTCCTGGCAGGGAAAGCAAGAGGCCAACTTCTAGCGCTCTCCCTTTTCCTCCCATTTCCTGAGCGAGACTTGCACAGGCTGGGCCTGGCAGGGCCATTTTCACCATCTTGGATGGCACAAGGCATTCCCAACAGGGCTCCCAGGGAAAAGCCCTTGGCCCATTCTGAAGCCTCAACAGGGCATGCGACGACAGAGAGCACTGGCTTCCCAGCAGCTGACATTCGCCAAGAGAAAGACTTTGTCTAGAGCTGGGTGGAGCCTCTGCCCACTATGTATGTTTGGCTTCAGCTTAGAAGACCCCAGTGCGAAGTTGGGATGGACTGGTTGGATCCATATCCTACCAGATGAGGCACTTTCCAACCACGTCACATTGAGGTGACCATCACCCCTCCAGACCTTAGCTTATCACGTCCAAATGGGTATCAGATGGGCAAAAACCTCAGAAGATCTCAGGAAATATCAAGAAAAGATAACAAAATCCCAGAGCCTGCTGGAAAAGCTTGAAAGTGAAGAATTGCAGGCAACAGACAGATGAGGCGGTTGCCAGGATACCAAGAGGAGAAGACTCAACCAACCACCACAGCGGCTGTACAACAGCTGTTGGGCTTGCCTTCTGAGTAGTGCCTCACCAAAGCCATCACACCTGAGCTTATGCTCATGAAGTCCCAAGTGAGGGGGTCTCTCGCAGCTGCTTCAGGATGGGGGCTGGCCAGCCGCAGTGATGAGCCTGGAAGGTGACAGGCCAGCATGTCTGTAGGGGACAGGGCATGTGAGCTCTGCACCGGGGAGCTTTGTACCTGCGTGCCTCTATATTGGACTGCTCCTTATTTGTGGCTTTTCTCAAAGTGGTCATCGTCGGTAGCGTGCTCTTGCTGAGCTCTGCGAGTCAATCTGGCAAATGATTGCCCCTCTGGGAGCACTGGGATGCCCCTGGGCTTGGAGCCAGTTGGGCATGAGTGCAGGGGTCAAGCTGGCATCTGAAGAAAGGACGCTTGGCTGCCGACCGTGCCTTCAGAGTCTAGCTGCTTGATGCCAGCACTGCAGGACGCCAGCTGGCACCAGAGTAGCCCGTGTCTCGAAGAACAACTCTGGTTGCACAGGTGCACCTTGGAGTTTCTGATAGAAATCGGGCAGTAAAGGCCATTCTAATGGTTTTCAATCTCCCCTTAGATGGCACACGTAGGTGACAAGTGTCTTGGGGATGAGCTCTGAGGTCGCAGGCACACCCAGGCAGGGTCTGCTAAGGAAGCACAAAGAGAAATGCAGCTTCCTTCCTCCTTCTGGCCAGGCAGTGGAAAGTTCCTGCACCCCTGGGGAGACAGGGACCCCAGGGCCTCTGGTAACCTCACAAGTCAGTGACTGTCTGCTTGCTACGTCTTAGGGAAAAGTGTGAGCATTTCAAAATGCCTTCCCTTGGATTACTGAGTGAGCAGAGAAAATAAACTGGAATTTCAAGAGCCACTAAAGGAACAAATACACCCCCGCTTACAGTCTAGTGTGCAAAGCCACCACTTGCAAAGCCAGCATCTTATATGGGTACCGGTTCTAGTCCAGGCTGCTCCACTTCCAATCCAGCTCCCTGATCATGTGCCTGGGAAAGCAGCAGCAGATGGTTCAAGTGCTTGGACCCCTGCATTCATGTCACAGACCTGAAAGAAGCTTTTGGTTCCTGGCTTTGCCCTGGCCAGGCTCTCCATTGAGGCTATTTGAAAAGTGAACCAATGAATGGAAGTTCTCACTCACTCTCTTCCTGTAACTCTGCCTTTCTTTAAATATTTTTTCCTCTGTATTGAAAGATATACAGAGAGGAGGAGGGAGAGAGGAAGACTTCCATCCAACGATTCACTCCCCAAGCAGCCACAATGGTTGGAGCTGAGCCAATCCAAAGCCAGGAGCTAGGGGTTTCTTCTGGGTCTCCCACATGGGCGCCGGATCCCAAGGCTCTAGTCCATACTCGACTGCTTTCCCAGGCCACAAGCATGGGGCTGGATGGGAAGCGGGGCCACCGGGATAGAACTAGAACCCAAATTGAATCCCAGCACATGCAAGGCGAAGACTTTAGCCACTAGGTTGCTGTGCTTGGCCCAACTCTGCCTTTCAAATAAATAAAACAAACCTTTACCAAATAAGGAACATAGATCTCAGGGAGTAATCAGAACTTGAAACCATCCTCTCTCCTTGCCCCTCTCCTCAGCCCGCAGCGAGAGCCTGGCAGAAGGTGAGAACCCTGATGGTGCCGACTCGTTCTGAGGACACAGCATTTACAGAGCAGTGCTACTGGGCCTGGGCTTTCAGGCCAGTGGCAAACTGAGGCGCTGTGGGCCACCAGAAGCTTGTAGCACTGCAGCAACACTGGGCTTGCCCCAGCTCTGAGCAGGGAATCCCATCGCTTCTGTTTTACACCATGGGCGGTAAGTCAGGGGCAGAAGGTGACCCTTGCGACTGGTGCAGGGCAGAGCTGAGCAGGCCCAGGAGGGGCTGCTGGGAAGCAGGTCCTCTCCAAAGCCACCACTCCCACGCCTGGGGTTGCCAAGGACCGCCAGGCAAGGCCCCTGGCCCGCCGGTCTTCCTGTCCCTTGGGACTGGCTGGGGGCAGGGTCCTTCCTCTCTTGGGAAGCACTGGAAGGTTGGACATGGGGAGCTGAGGGCTCAAGAAAGGAGGGTGGGTGATTTCCACTCCAGCCCACTCCGTCTGAGACCTGGTCACATGAAGACCTCGCTCCCGCTTCAAAGGGCAACGACCTCCAGCTGCTCCCTGGGCCTCCTCTTCTTCCTCATGTTTCAAAGCAGAAGCCTCCTCTTTCCTCACCTCCGCAGCGCCCTCTGTTGCCATGGCGACCAGGAACCTGCAGCTTGGTTACCTCCCTCCCAGCCCCTGCCTGCTGATGCTGAGACCAGGCCAAAGTCTTGGCACTTCCTATGCCACTTAGCCTAGACCCCTCCCGCCCCCACTGGGCCAGCCTAGCATGCTCCTCTCCAAAGCTTACTGCCACATAGGATGGGGCTCCAGGCCTGACGCTCCAGCTCTCTCCTAAGCACCTCTGAGCTCCCTGCTTGGGGGCAGCCCCGCTTTCCTCCCACCCCTCCCCAGCCTCCACAGGCCCTGCGGCTAGCATCTGTTCTCCCCACTGGCGAGTCCTGCCCCTCTCTAAGCGGTCCAGGAACTCAGGACCTGCATTCTGACCTGACCCCTGGGCCCCTGGACTCACCAGACTACAGCAAAGTGAAATGTGGACAATACCACGGAACAGGGACTGCAGGGGAAGGTGTCCTGCCCACATGGTGTGGGGTGAGCCCTGCCCATGCCCCTTGCCCAGCCTCTGTCATTGTGGCTCCCCAGGAGGAAAGTAGCCTCCTCCATACCCCATCCCTGCCTTCAAGCCTGGGCCGGAAGGTGCTGGAAGCTGCAAGTAGAGAGTATGCCCTTGTCCCACCGACAAGTGGAGTCCTGGGCTGGAGAGGGCTGAGGCAGCCTTCTGGCAGCTCCAAGGAGGTGTGGCTTGAGGGGCGGAACCTGCGAGGGAGCTGTCCCCTAGTGCTGTGCTCTAAAGGTCACACTGCCACCTGCCCCGGGGCAGCTCACCCACAGGACCCCAGCAATGTCGCTGGTGAGATTTTAGTAGGCCAGCGGCTGCTGCTGGGCTGCTTCTTCCTCCCTGCTCATCTGTGGTGCAGTGCCACATGATGGAGCAGGAAGATGCACTTGACTGAGCTTTTACCAGGAGCTTCTAGAAAGGAGGAAAGCAAACTCTGAACACCGGCAGAATGTTCAATATCAGACCTGGGATTCGGCACCTTTCTTCATCTTCTCCATGATCCAATGAGCTGGTAAAGTCTCCAGGCCCCAGGAATGCTAGGCAGCAGAGCTGGGCTAACACTGCAGAGCTGACGGCCAGTTCAAACCTCCTGCACTGTGCTGTGTGGGTTCCTGTTAGGGTCTGCAGTGACACAGCAGATGGCCAAGGAGAGATCTGAGAGGGCAGCCAGGAGATCCTGAAGAAAGTGCACGAGGTAAGAGCGGCACCAAGATGGGGACAGCCTGGCCAATCACACAGAGGCATGCAATGCAGCAAGTCCCCCAGTGCTGGGCACAGAATTCACTGAGAGAGTCGCACTCCTGAGACCCGAGTTGTAGTGCAATGGGTTAGACAGCTGCTAATGACACCGGTGATACATACTGGAGCACTGGTTTCAGTCCTAGCATCTCTGCTCCTGATCCAGCCTTTCGCTAATGAGCCTGGGAAAGCAGTGGAAGATACCCCAAGCCCTTGGCCCCTGCCACCCATGCGTGAGACCCGGATGGAGTTCTGGGCTCCTGGCTTCAGCTGTACTCATCCTTGACTGCTACCAATTATTTGCAGAATAAAGCAGCAGGTGGAAGATTTCTCCCTGCCTCCCTGCCCTCATCATCTTACCTTTCAAA